AAACTTACTATAGCTTTATATAAGACGACTAAGTAACTAAGCTAGATCTTACTAAATTTATATATAATACCTTATAGTACTCTATAATAAACGTAATACTATTATACGTACTATACAAGTACTAGCTATAAGGTCTTAAGGACATACCCTTAAACTAGTTAAAGCTAGTAGAGGCGCTAGTAGCTAATATATAAGTAGAGTAGCTATAAAGTAGCTATAAAGAAATTATTATATTCTTTTAGTATTCTTAAAAATAGTATAAGAAATAGTATAACTAGAACTAAAAAAAGATTTTATTTAAAAAGAGAGACTAGGTACTCTTATTAATAAAATACCTAAGGTAACGTCGACCTTTTAAGAAATTCGTAAATAAGTACATTAGCCCTTACTAAATTAAAGACGTTATTAAGGACTATAGACTTACTTATAGACTATACCTTTCTTTATTAGTACGGCTATATCTTACTTTTCTAATTATAAGCCTAGAACCCTATAAAGTATAAGAAGGCAAAGTCCTTATAAGCCTAATAGACATCTTAGTCTTAGATAAAGAAACATTTAAAGTAAAAGCTATTCTTAACTATAAAGGCCTATAAAGAAACAGATTCTATCTTATAAAATAAAAAGGGTATAATAATTTAGAAAACTCGTAAGAACTATAACAGAACCTTAACAATAGCCTACTTCTATAAGAATATAAACAAATACATTAAGATAATTATTAAAAAGGCATAATGTTACTAGTATAGTTATAGTAATATAAGTACGACTTTTGTATTTATTATATAAAAACTTAGAAACCTAAGTATCTTAAAAAAAAAATACTAAACTACTCTTTTACTAGTAAATACCTTTTAAAGCTCTACTAACTTTATTATTATATATCTTAAAAAAAGAAAAAAGAAAAAAATCTAAAGTACGATCTTACTTATTAAAGACGCTTTAACCCTTAGTCGTCTATTATTTGTCTTTATTACTATCCTTTCTACTATTATTATTATCTTTTATAGTATCTACTACTACTTTATCCTTTACTTTCTTACTTCTTTTAGATCTCTATAAATTATACGCGTACTACCTTTAAGTTAGTAGTAACTTAACATTAAGGTAAGAGATACTTATAACTTTCTTAAAATAAGATACGTACTTTTTAAAGATAGTAATATAGTCTTACTATACTTATATTACTTCTTTTATAAGCTAATTACGATAGTCTACCTTTATGTTTATAGTTATAGTAAACTTATTATAAAGCTCTAACTAATAAGTAATTTTTACTAAATAACCTAACTTTTACTTTATACGCTCTTTCTTATTTACTTTATTGTTATAAAGCCTCTTCTCTACTAATATTATAGTCTAAGACTTTAAATATTAAAGGCTCTTCTTTACTAAAGTTTAGGCGGCCTAAATTATAGCCTGTTTATATTAGCTTTAACTTTACTATAAACAATAGAGTACCTTACCTTATTCTTTTTTATAATTACCTTTTAAAGTTTGGTTTCTCTAGCTTAAAGAGTTAAAACAACCTAGTAACGTTAATAAAGCTACGACATAAGAGCGTTACCTTAAGAAGGGTTATACTTATAAAAATATACTCTTTCTTTAGATTTTTATAATAGACGTACTTTACTAATGTAGCTACTACACTATTAGGCTATTACTCTTTACTAAAAAGGAATACTTATAGTCGTTGTCCTTATACTTTAGTAAGGTACCTTATAGGTCTTATAAAGCTATTTAGTTTAAGTATTACTTATAAGCTACTAAACGCTTTATTAGTACTATATTATCGTTAATAGTTTAATAAAGGTACGTTAGAAGTTTGTTAAAAGAGTCGTAAAAGAAGGGGGGTATAGTAGCGTTATATTTGTATAAGGTAAAAAAAAGAAAAAGAGGTAATAAACTAGTAAAAACGAGTCTTTATATACTCCTTAGCGCTATAAGGGACAGACTAAGTAAAGAGAGACAAAAGAAGTGTTTTTTTATATTTACTTAAAAAATACGATTATAAGTAATATAGTTTAATCCTTATAGCTACTTACTATTAGTATACTATCGACCTTCTAGTAAAGGGTAACAAAGGATTTCTAAAAGCGGTAAAAGGGTAAGGAATACTAGCGCGCCTAGGTAATATAGTTTATATTACGTATTAAGGGTCTTACGACTATCTAGCGACTTACTAGTACTTTACTATAATGTGTCTTTACTAAAAGTAAATATAAGAGGTATACTAGGTAAAGATCTAAAAGTATAATATATAATAGAAATCTTACGGTTTAGCTATACGCCTTTACTATACTATAAAGTCGCTACTATTCTCTTTTTCTTAATACTACTAGTTATATAGTTATATAGTTATATATTTACTTACTAATTATTCTTATGTATTTATTCTTGTTTCTAGGGAGGCATTAGCCTACCCTAGCCTCCTTATGATCTAATAGCTACCTATAAGCTTCTAAGGATAGAAGCTAAAAAGGAAGGATACTATATTAAGTATACTAATACGTAAAATTATAATAGCTTAGAAATCAAGTATAAGGTAACTACGTACTACGACTAAGGTAATAGTAGGCATTAAGGAGTATAAGAATAGAGGACAAGGAGGAGAAAGAAGAGGGGTTTAGAGATTAGTCTATAGTTAAAGTAGTAATATACCTTTAAATATACTACGACTATCTATTGACTCTTGCCTCTTTTACTCTATAGAAATATACCTGACATTAAGTATAAGGTAACTACGTACTATAACTAAGGTAATAGTAAGCATTAAGGAGTATAAGAATAAAGGGTAAGAAAGAGAAAAAAGAGAGGTTTAGAGATTAGTCTATAGTTAAAGTAGTAATATACCTTTAAATATACTACAACTATCTATTAACTCTTACCTCTTTTACTCTATAGAAATACACCTAACACTACTTATCCTTATTAATCTTCTTTACCTAGAAAAGATAGCTCTATATATAGTACTAAAGTTCTACGTTCTTTAGCCTACCTAATGTTTGCCTAGCGACCTCTAATACTAATAATACTAGGCATTTTTTACTTAATTTTTTAATTTATTATAAATACTATACTTTAGTCTCTTTATTATCTTACTTAAGGTTATAGATCTGTTACTATAGTAGGAATTATTAGTTAAAGTCTACTTTCTTATCTACTATAAATTTTGTCTTAAACTCTTTCTTTAATACTTCTTAGTCTACTCTTATAGTCTTTAGTTAACCCTTATACTATACTACTACCTAACTAGTTAGCTTATATCTAAAGACTACTTTTATCCTTCTAGTCCTCTTCTCTTCTTTATATAAGTCTATATAGTATTTAATTACCTTAATATATTCGCTTATATCTTTTCTCTTTATTCTTTTAAAGGTTAGTTAAGGGATCAACATTATAATAGTTTAATACTTAGCTAGTACTATAATAAGGGTTACTAATAGTAAAGTAGTTAATATCCTTATTAATAGCTTTACTACTTTTATAACTAAATAGTCGATCTCTGTCTCTATTAGTCTTAATTAGCTTAATTCTAATACTTTTACAATACTTGTTAATAATCCCTTTTTCTTTAAAGAAAGAGATCTTAGAAAATTTAAAGTAAGTTTAAATAGATTAGACATTAATAATACTTAAAAAGTAAGAGAAAAAAGAGACTAAATAATAAGAGAGATATAACAAGTAATCTACGATTACTAATGTATAAGAAAGTACGACTATACTACTAGTTAATCCTTAAAAATTACCTTAATTCTCGACACTAGTTCTTTATAAACTAAACCCTTCTTCTTATACTTAAATACACTAATAAAACTAACTTTAATAAGATAAACTAATTTTTACTAATCTTTCTTAGGTCGCTATATAATAAGGTATAAGAGTTGTCTTATTAGTAGGTTATATTTTCTAAGTAAAAGTGCTACAATTATAGGCTTATAGCTAGCTAAGCGAACCTTATTAAATATTAGTAATGTCATATGATCATTTCCTAGCGCTACAGTATGTATGTAAGGGGGGCTAGAGCTGCTGCTTTGCATCTTTATTCCAACGTCTATCTATCTATGGTATCTGCTTAAGGAGCTACTCTATTGCTTCTTAAAGCAACAGGACAAAGTTGTCTGAATATCTGTTGTAAGAGCGAGAAGATAAAAGAGATATTTTATGCTACTAATACATATATTTCCAAGCATCTCCTTTATTTCATAGTCTCCGGGGTTTGAATGCTTTTCCTTATCCCTAGGGATACTGTAGCGCTAGGAAATGATCACATGACATTACTAATATTTGATGGGGTTCGCTTAGCTAGCTATAAGCCCACAATTGTGGCACTTTTACTTAGAAAATACAACCTACTAATAAGACAACTCCCACACCCTATTACAATACCCCATTTCCGCAGTAGCCCACTTGCCAAGATGCAACGGTTCAGGGCGGAGACTCTGAGAAAAATAAAACGTGCGCAATTATTTACCTTAACTGGGGTAGGGAATTAGGGAACCGAGGTTTGGAATGCATGTGCTAATGATTGGGGATCTTGATTGTATTGTGAATTCGGAGGATGAGTTGGTAGAGGGTTGGCTTGGGGGGTTTGTTCGGTGGAGGTCTGGGCTTTTGAGGGTATGGGAATTTGGGGGTGGAGAGGTCTAGATTGCCTCTAGGCGCTGAGGGACCAATAGCAAGGAGATGGAAAGCAGCAAGTAAGCCAGAGGTTGAAGGAATGGTTGAACAAGCGTTTTAACGAAAAGGAATGAGGGGAGGATCCAATGGTGGATCCGCTGCATCTCAAAACTTGAGAATCTATCATGTGTGTTCCATGATTAATAAAATAAGGGGATAAGCGAGGAGGTAGCCTTTATCTCTTCGTTCGATCATCTGACGATACATCATTGTGGATATGGGATTGGTCCACACCTATACTAGGTGTATATCCAAAGCATACTTGCTTGTTCAAATTAGAGGAGATATCCCGCAAGCCTGAGGTTTTCACGACTATCAGCTTAAGGAAGCGCCATGAACACCGACAACAACTTCTCGTAATCTGGCGTACCCAACCCGGTAACGGGATCCCAGCCCGAAACGGCAGTGAAGCCTTTCGTTCCACAGCCCTGATTACCGCCAGACGTGATGTCGTTAAAGGCTGATGGGTTTTCGTAAATCGTTGGGTTTATAAATCCAACCGCTGACTTCCCAGCACTGATCCGCTGCTCGTTGATCAATGTGATGACGCTCCCGAATGTGGGTGCGGAACAGGAGGTTCCATAGAGCAAGACGAGCGAGCCGTCAAGGGCTACGACGAAGTTGGCGCCGTTCGCAGCTACGTCAGGGTAGCCCCTGACTGTTTCGGAATTGTTGTATTGAGTGGCTGAATAAGAGGGTTTGTGCGAGGAGAAGTAGGAGGCTACGGCGGAGGACTGGTAATCAGGCATGGGAAAGACGTTACTGAAACCTCCGCCAGAATAGATGACAGTCTCGCATGCCTCCTCCGGAGCAGTAGCGGTTACTGCTGTGTTGGGCTTGATCTGCGTGGCCCCGACGGAGGTTATGTAGGGGCAAGTCGCAGGAAATGCGGGGTTGAACGTCCCTGAACTGCCACTGTTGTATCTTCCTCCTGCACACTTTGCTTTGCTGCAGCACTGGCCGCCATTACCAGCTACGCCGTAGTCTCCAGACGAGAAGAGGAATGTGGTTCCAGCAAGACCGAGTTTCATGTACTCATTGCACTGGCGGACTTCGTAGGAAGCGGGGAGATCGGCTTCGTTGTACCCGTAGGAGGTAGAGATGACCGACGCGGGCGTGATAGTACCGCAAGCTTCTGACCCAGTGTAGCCTCCAGACTCAGGATCCGGGTATGTTGCATCACTGAAGAAGGTGAGCGTGCGATCGTTATAGTCACCATGTGGTAGTTGCCAGATATATCTGATGAAACTGACTTACTAGGTGGAATCATCCCCACTGCAATAAGATGCATCTAGTGCGTCAAGAAAATTGCCGAATGATGCGCCTTCGACTGTATCACCAGTCTGGTACACGGTAACCTTCTGGGGGTAAACTTATGGCCACATTAGCCCATGTTCAAGAGCAGGATCCATCACTTACCAAGCGCAATAGCGTACTCTATATCAAGATCTGCTTCCCCGTTGTTATCTTCACTCTCAGGGACTGAGATGGTTCCGCCATCGATGGAATCGACCACTGGGGCGTAGCCTGAAGGGATCTGGCGCTGCAAGTTTGAGTAGAAGAGGTTCAGATCTGCTTGTCTATGAGCCACTGGTGTGTATTCGACAATGCCGTAGGATGACCTTCTCCACGTGAGCTGGTGTTCTTTACAAGAGGGGGAGTAACTTTACACATCTAAGGTGCCATTGCTGAAGTTGTACAAGGCCCTTAGGCACTCAGGGGTTGTGTACTCGTAACAGTTCGCCAGAGAATAGGTGACTTCTGGGGTGACGGCTACACCCGGATGAGCAATTGGAAATGGCTTAACCTTCATGTCGCGTTCATTAATTTCGCGGCGCTGCAAGTCTCTGCGCGTCCTCTTTGGTTTGACATAAGCATCGAAGTGTACTGTAGGTTTGATGAAATCAATGTGCTCTTGGATATGTGCTGGTACACTGTACTCTTCACAAGCCAAATGATCGTTACCGGTCTCCACATTGGTGTAGATGCCGTATTCGGTACGAAGCAGAGACTCTGCCTCTTCGACTGTTGCATTGAACTTAAACCAATTCCTGCCCTTGGACAATCTGATTCTATCCTCTGCTATACCACTCCCGGTGAGCCATTCCTTGACGGCCGTGAGCGTTTCGGGCGATGCAGCAAAGGTCTCAGCAATCTGCAATTGTTAGCTTACATTGCTGCAAGACATGAAGCTTAACATGCCTTCTCCAGAGACCAGTGCTTGCCGTAGTTTGGGCTCTGTGGGTGCGAAACGTCCATCAGGTAGTCATAACCCTTGTCCAAATTGGATTGGGTCAATCCAATAGACATCGGGATAACAGCATCGCGATTGAGCTTTAGGTCTCTGCGAGCCCATTTCTGATGCTGAACTTCTCGCTTCTCATGCACAACATGAGATGAGGGTGGTGCTGGGGCAGCAGAAGCATAAGCCGCAAAGCCTATCAGTGCCAGGAGAGACAGCTTCATGATTTCGGGAGAGGCAAAGGAGAACTTCGGTTGGGATCAATGAGAAAGAACCTGTCGAGGAAAAGGGATGCCAAAGGAAATATATACTCATTTTTCAAGATCAGGTGGCTGAGCCCTCTGGTCAGGGTGGTCATCATCTTGGACGCCCTGCCATGTTGAAAAATGTCTCGGCATGCACGGTGTAGAACCAAGGGCTGCCCAAGTCTCTCCAAGTTGAAAATATGCTTTGAAATCCCGCTGCAAAAACCTCAACCGGTAGAGTACGATAAGCGCCACTCCTAACAGAATCCCAAGAGTCGAATCAGCAGACTTATGTTAGAACAAGGTAACTTTAAGAGGAAGGTTCAGAGGAGTCACTTGATGAGGGTCAATGGCTTGGCATCAACTGCCGCCAGAGTCGAGGTACCATGAGCGCCACAGTTCAGGGGAGCCGTCTCACTTGCCCAAGAGCATCTAGTCCCTCAGGTAGACGCGCTTGGCGGCCGGCACTCTGATCGCCATTTAGAAGGTGCCGGGAATTAGCTGAGCTCTCCGTCCCGTTGTAGCCTGTCTATGGTCTGTAGTACCCGAACGTCTCAATCCCAAGATTGCTTCGGTGCAGGTGTTACGGTGGTCTGCAGACTTGATCACATACCCAGCGCTTGCTGCCGTTCGTCTTATCTTCGGCATGTTGCATCCCCTTATCGCACTAGAACAGGCTTTATCATGCCTACATACAGGGGCGAGTAGATCGACGATAGAACGGGCCGTCAAAGCTGGTAGACCGTGGAGAAATAGACAGAATTGATGAGCGGTCGTCATTGGTGGGGTTGTCGATGTGCTCCGCGACAGGATCACAATACCGTTCGGTTGAAGCCGCCGCCGGTATTAGAGGAATCTACACATCCGGGGTACTGCAGCTCTAAGAGTCCAGGGGTTCAGGAGTTTAAAGGTCTAGAATCTCCAAGGATGGTCCAGGCTAAGCCCCGGGGCCAGAAGAGGAAAAAGACGATAACCTTGATAAGAAAAGGAACCCGGGAAAGACAGGCTGCTCGAAGAATCTTTCATAAACATTTCAGAAGATCGGAACTTCAAATGCACGATGTCAATAGTGGCAGCTCGCCAACGCTGACTACAACTCGGACTGTAGAACCGTAATTGAGAAGATAAGCATAGAGATTCTGCGCATGAACTGCGGCAAAGAGAAGCGGGTGGGGGGACAAGGGCCGGCAGCCCGAGGAACAACATCACTTGAGAGTTGACACTCTACAATCCGGACGGTGGCCTTCTGGATGACCAGGAATAACCAACAAGTTCAATGATATGGCGGCTGCCATAAATACATAATTCGATGAGAATGAAGGAGAATGAAAGAGGGTTGAAGTTGATTGAGAGTTGCAGAGAGGTGGATACGGTAAGGTAAGGTAGTGACAACCTGGAACATCTGTGTCACGTGGACACATTTTCCGCTAGACTACGGTAGGTAAAGCGCCACCATCATTCCCGTGTTAAAAGGTGGATCTAATGGTAGGGTTATGTTGAATATATTTAGATTAGTTAAAGGATTACAGAGGGTATAGAATACTATATATATGCGTGTACATAAAAAGGTGTGGCTAGTTCTAACCTAGTCTACGTAACTAACGTTATGTGACATCATGTAATACCCTTACTTATATACCGCTCTATATGACTTAGTTTAGTACTCTTACTTAGAGCTATAACAACACCTTTTAATAAAACCTAACTCCCTTAAAACTTAGTAAGAAAAAAGGGTAGTTAGGAAAGAGTCGGTATAGTAGCCCCTTCTTTACCCTAATATCCTTGTTTCTTTAAATCTAGTCATCCCTTTAGTAGCCTTAAGTTCTCCCTATAGTTACATTAAGGTTTCTTTAAAAGGCACGTTAAGTTAACTGTCCTCTATCTTAGATCTTCTTATATGTTCGTCTCTAGGTAGGTCTTCTGTTTCGTCTTTGTTCTGTTTATGTTTTGTAGAGGATCCTTAACTTACTAAGGTCTAGCTTTATAGCGATAGTAAGTAGTATCTAGTAGGTAAAGTATACCGGTCTCCTTACTTTCCTTTCTTCTACTGTTTTAGAGAGACTCGAATTACTGTTTCTTTTATTTTACTCTTATTCTAAGGCTAGTTCTCTTAGGTTTAGATAAAGCTCTTTAACTAGCGACTAGTTAGCTTAAGACATTTCTTGTCTAGATTTTCTTTTAGTTTACTAATTGTCTAGACTTTACTTACTTAAATATTTCTACTTTTAATATAGTAGTTAATAAACTTCTACTATATTCTAAAGAGGCCGTAGATATGTACTAGTCTGGTTGTCTACGCGTTACAGTCGTATATAACGATCTTAAAACCCCCTTAGTTAAGGCGTTAGACTATTACGGCCTATATATAGAACAGTATGTTAGCCTAGTTAGGGTTTCTAACCTAGGACTTAGTCTATATATAGAAGAAACCTATCTAATTAGTCTACTACTCTAGGCGTTCTTTTTATAGATCTAAAAAGTACCTAAAGTTGTACATGTTAAGGACTTGTTTTTAGTTTTCCTTTTTAGCCGTGTTTACAAATACTATTAGGTAAGTATATAGTAGCTATAGCGTGTTTCTACTACTTAAATAATAATCTAGTTTATAGTATTTAAAGCTTACTCTAATTAGCTACAGGTGTCTCTAAATGTTACTAAATATAGAGTTGTCTATAAGCTCTTCTAATAGTAAAATGTACTAGTTTTGTAGTAAGATATTAAGGACTTGTTGTCTTAATAGTGTTCTATAGTTAGGATATATAGTTATTACGTTTAGTAACCGAGAATAAAGTAGTGATTAGTTTAGAGAGGTAGGTACCTAGATATATAGGGGTAGACCCCCTTTTAGCTCGCTTAGCTAATCTAGCCATAAGATTTTCTAGGCCCCTCTTCTTTTTTTTTTTTTTTTTTTTTTTTTTTCTAACCTTATAGCTTTACGCCTATATAGTTAATTGTCCTAAAAATAAGGGGCTAGGGGTTCTTAAGGTTATTAAGTCAGATAGAGGTCTTTGTTTTTGTACACAAAGTCTCTTATATAAACTAGACTACTCTAATTAGCCGGCAAAAGGCAAGGAACTTGTTATAGTATAGTAGTTTAGTAAGACTATCTACGACTTGTTAGTCTGTTAGAACGTATTATAGTACGACAGCCCTTTCTTATACTTTTTCTCTTCTAAAATAATAAGTAATATTAATGTGTTTTGTCTACGTATAGAACTAAGGGTTCTTTATAAGGGTAATAGCCCCTTAGTTATTACTATAGATAACTATAGTAACAGGTACCCTAAAGTAGTCTTTGTTAATTTAGGTAAGAAAACCTTTTAGCTAGATAGCTTCCTTAATAGAAGTAGTCTACCTAATATACTTAGACTTGTAAGAGGATAGAAAGATAGTAGCCTAGCGCTTAGAGGACTAACTAATTACTCTACTCTTAATATTAAACATATACCTAGATATTAACTATTAAGTACTATAGTTACTAGCCTAGTCTACGTTAGTATAGCTAACTAGTAGTAAAAGTTCCCCTTTAAACGTAAGTTAAAGGTTAAGAGTTCTATAAAGGTATCTAAAAATACACTTAACCGCTAACTAGTAGTTCTTAGTTAGATTTAAGGAATAGCGGCTAACTACTAATATAGTATATATAATATCTAGTCGTGTTCTAAGTATAGCGTACATTAGAGAGCTAATAGTAGATTAGTATTAGTAGCAAAAGGTAGGGTTAGCCTTATAAGAGGCTTTTACTAAGACTATCTTCTTTAGTAATGTTTCTATAGGTATTAACTATAGCTTTATGTTACCTATACTAAAATCCTTAAAGACCTTCTTTAGGTAGCCCTTCTAACTTAACTTAAGAACCTGGTTTTATCTGTTGTAGGTTACTTACATTCTAAAATAGAAGCTATAAGGGCCTAGATTACTTATTTTAAAACAAGTACTTAGTACGTTTTTAAGTTCCTAGATCTTAGCTTTCTTAGGTCCGGCTAATAGTAGATTATTAACATAGATCGTAACTATAATGCCGTTACCCTAAAAGACACTTATGTTAGAGTTAAGAGGACAATACCTAAGGCTTTTTAAGAAGCTAGTAAGTGTCTAATACTATACCTAAGAGGCTTGTTTTAGACTATAGAGTACCTTAACAAGATAGTAGACGCGATCTAATCTGTCCTAGAAACCCTCTAGTTACTTAACAAAGATATCTATGTTAATATCCTTATAGAGAAAAGTAGTCTTAACATCTATCTACTTAATCTCTTAGTCCTAGGCTACTATAATTATAAAGAGAGCTTTGTAGCTTATTAGTTTAACTATAGTTATAAATGTCTTAAAATAGTCTTTTTCTTTCTACTACTTAAAGCCTCTTATAACTTATCGTACTTTGTACTAGACGACTTTACCTTATAGTCCTTGTTTTAGTTTCTAGACCTACTTACCTCTTAGGATACGCCTGTCTTTAGGTAGTAACACGAGTTTCTAAGTGTTGTTCTTTATTAGTAATACGTACTCTTCTTAAGCTACTAGTTTCTATATGTTCTAGCTTTTACTATTAATAGCTTGTTTTTAGGTTTTCGGCTTAAAGGGTTCTGTTAAGTCTGTTTGTACTAAGAAGGTATATATAGCGTAGGCTAGAGTCGTAATAAGGAGCTTAAGCTTACTACTATAATTAAAGTAAGTGTCGGCTATTTCTTAGTATTTACTTAAGGGAAGGTAAGTAGGTTATGTAGTTGTTAGAGGTGTCTAGTCTAAGGGCTTTATGTCTAGTTATAGATCAAGTACCTTAGGAATAGTTAGAGGTTAATCCTAGGTTTTAAGGTTAAGTTTAGTAACACCTACTATATAGTACTAAGAGTCTAGAGGCAGTTACTTGTTAATGTAGACATTACTACTACGTACAACCTGTCTGTTAGGTAAGAGAATACGATAAACTATCTTACTGTTAAAGCTAATTAGACGGCCCTTAACTATATAGTTATAGAGTTTTCTTTTTTATCTACTAATAAGGTTATAGATAGTAGAGCTAAGGATATAGATGTTCTGTAGGTCTAGTTTATAGTAGTTTAGTACTTTAAACAGAGTCTTATAGTCTAGGGCACTATATAGACTCTTGTTTAGTAAGTATAGACAGGCTTGTAAGACCTTACCTTATTAATTAACAAGGAGTCCTAATTAGTATAAGGTAGCCTTAGTCTATAGCTATAGTGTCTGTCTATGTCGTTTAGTGCCTCTATTCTATAAGGGGTTATATAGTACGGTTAGTTTAATCTTAATACTGTTCTATAGATAGTAATCCTTAAATTTCCTAAGTAAAGTAAGCTCTCTTTTATTATACCTAACACGCCTAATTTTCTGTCTTACTTACTTATATACGGCTTTAAATTTAAAGAAGAACTTAAAAGCTTAACTTTTGTTTCTAAGCGTTTTAGTAGACCTGTACTTAGTCTTGTTATAGTAAGTGTACCTAAAATATCTTTCCTTATTTATACTAGTAAATAGTATTAGTCTTATAAGGTTAAAGTATATTAGGTCTATTAGGTACTCTTCTAGTTTAATTAGGTAGTTGTATAGTTTAGTAGTTATCTTAGTAAGTATATAACTCTTATAGGTATACTTGTTATTCTATAAGTAATTAAAGTTAACCTTATAAGCTACTTATAGAAGTCGTTTAATATTTGCTTTTCTTAAGTAACTTATCTAGTTGTACTAGAAGAGGTATTTTAGGTCGACTACTATACTATACGTAGTAACTTAGGTTAAAGTAGTTAAGATAGTTCTGTTTAGCTTTCTAAGGTAAGGTTTCTAAAGGTCTAGTAGATAGATACGGTTCTTTTAGGTTAAGGTAAACGTATAGTCCTTAATAGTAAAGGATATTCTGTTTCTAATTCTGTTACTAGTCTCTTATCTTATAGCGTATTCCTTTTCTTTAAGTTAACTAGTTAAGATAAGGTTAACTCTTATATCTAGTACTAGGTAGACCTTATTTAGGTAAAGGAGCTTACCCTTTATAGTAACGCGGATAGTACCTTTTCTTATTAGTATAACTTTAATACTACTAATACCTTTAATTAGTCTTAGTAGTATTCTAAACTCTTTAAAGTTAATAAACAGATCTTGCCTCTAGGTTATATAGTTTAAGTAAGTAGAATCTAATAAGAAACCGTTTATTAGTTCTTTAGTAGTAAGTACGGGTAACGTAACGCTAATAGTAGTAATAATAGTGTTCTTATCGTTATTATTACTATTATTATTAAATCGTTACTTCTTATTACTTTTTTTATTTAGTTTTCCTTTCTTGTTACTTATTTTTCCTTTCTTAGCCCTTAGTTTCTATCCCTTTAGTACTAGGTTAAGGTGTTTATAGAAATAGTAATTAATTATGTGTCCGGTCATATCGTAACAGGTATAGTAGTCTACTAACTTCTTGTTACTTTGTTCTATAGTAGTTACTAGTACTGTTATGTTATAGGTCGCTACTATAGCTATTATCGCCTTGTCGTCGTCTAGTTTTATAGCCGTTTCTTCTATTAATGTCTTTATAACTAGCTTATTAAAGGAAACAACCTTTAGGTATAGGTCTATAGAGTCTTTCTCTTAAAGAAAGACGTGATTTCTCTAGAAGTCTGTAATGTAGTTATTATATAAGGAGTCGAGTCTATATATAAATTTTATAACTATATAAAAATCTGACATTATAGCGTTAGTATTAATTCTTACTAAGTCAAAGTTAATTTACCTAAAGGCTTTTATATATTTAGTAATAGACTTATAGTCTTATAGTCTAAGAGTCTAGAATTTTAAGGTTAAGTTAATAAGGGTACTATTTCCTTAGGCTTTAAAAGTATTTACTAGTTTGTTAAGAATTACTAATACCTTGTCGTTAAACTTTACTAGGGCGTAGACGTACGTACTATAGCGACTCTAGAGAGTAGTGTAGGCTCTCTTTATGTAAGACTTATAGGCTTTAAGCCTTTTCTAAAAGGTAGCGTTACTTTCTTTACCTTCTTATTCTAGCTTATCGTTTTTAAGGATGTTATTATATCTAGTAAGGGTAAGCTATTCTCTTACTCTTTTGTTAAATTCTACCTAGTTATTAGATTTAAGGATTAGGACCTAGTATAAGAAGAGTAACTTTAATTTAGCGTCTAATATAGCGACTTAGAGTCTAGAGGGGCTTAGGCTTCCTAACTAAAGAGATCGTAATAGCTTAGTAGAGGTAGAATTAAGTTAATAGTATTAGCTTAACTAATAGGTACTTTACTTACTACGTTTAAAGTACTTAGACTATATAGTGTTTCTAAGTCTAGTCCTTTCCTTTATTATTTAAGTAGTTCCTAATAAAGGTAAGGCTAGTAACGCGTAAAGTTTTAGATTTAGATAAAGTAAGCCTATCGGCCTTAAGGATAATAGTACTAGAGTTCTTAAAGTACTTCTTTAGTAAGTTTAATTCTCTTTTAAGGTTAGCCTTCTAAGTAATAAGAATTATTTATATTTATAGCTTGTGTTTTTAATAATTTAGGTAGTTAGTATTAGTATCTAAAAACGTAGAAATTTAGTAGCTAGTAGGCTTATAGAAATTTACGATAGTTAGTCCTAACCTTACTATTTCTGTTACCTTACTAAAATAGGCTATTAGTCTTCTTTACTACTTAGTACTTTACTTAACAAGAGGTTAGGTTAAGAATCTGTAAGCTAATCGCCTTAGTACCCTTTTAAAGTAAAAAGACCTTTTTAAGTATACACTAAGACTTTAGTAAATAGTTACTACATCTGTTCCGGTTTAATAGTCCTTAACTTTAATACCTTCTTACCTATAGTTATTTATTAGGTTAGTACTTAGATCTACGTTCTTTTGATCTAGATAACTTAGCTAGTTAGTTATAAATAGTAGAGGAATGCGCCTAGCCGGGCTTATAACCTATTAAAAGGTAGATCTAATAGTAGGGTTATGTTAAATATATTTAGATTAGTTAAAGGATTATAGAGGGTGTAGAATACTATATATATGCGTGTACATAAAAAGGTGTGGCTAGTTCTGACCTAGTCTACGTGACTGACGTCATGTGACATCATGTGATACCCCCACTTATATACCGCTCCGCATAACTCAGTTCAGCATCCCGCACATGCCTCATTCGATATAGCGCGGGGCTCTCCCGATTCTTCCCTTTCTGTTCCGCAGTCAAGTCAACGGTCAGCTTTGCTATTCGACAACTCAACGCCAAAACTACAACGTATTGATGTAACGCTGTACGGAGAACATTTTCAGTTCCCATTTCCAGACAAAGTGAACCTGCTAATTGTATAGTTGCGTTTATGCATGTCGGATCAGGGCCCCAGAGATGTACTCTGTTAGCTGTATAGGCTGGAGTCGAGTGGCTCTGAGCTATGTGCATCTAGTGACTACAGAACCACTTAATCGAATGGTCCATCAGATAAGGTAGTGAAGCAGGAAATGTAGTATCTGTTCATGCTTCTCCTTTCAACTCTCCCGCTGTCCCCTTGATTCCAGCTTGTTCCTCGCGTGAAAGGACGATCCCAAAATGCTCCTTCAACGCCGCAACTCTCTGTTCTTCCGTCGTGCACTCAGCCAGGATCTCTGACTTGTCCTGCACTCTCCTCTTCACAATCTTATCCGTCAAAACCACGATCCCAGTGATATCATCCTTTTCCTCATCCAACAGCATCTTCATACACAGGACTTTGTATGTGAACCAGCTCGCTCTACTGGCGGAAACGGCAAAACTCATGACCTGGAAATCGTTTGGGAGGAACTCGGTCATCCCAAAGCAATATATCGGGGACCAAGGATGGGACTCCGAAATCCGATGCTCATAGAACCACAGACCTTGCACCATAGGATTCGAGGGTTCCTGGAACCTCAGTCGAGTCTCTGCATTCGTTGCGCCCCATTTTGAGATGACGCCGGTGGTGAGAGGTAGTGGTCTTGTTTGGCCAGGTCCTCCAAAGCCGACGTCAACAGCGTATATTGTGTCTCCAATACGCACAAGATTGACTTGGTGGTTCCTGAGGGTATTTGTTAACCATTTGTTGGAGCACAGGAGGATTTCAGGGATATCTCACCATCCATCTAGTTCTCCCGACGCTCCAAAGACCCTCGCTCCCGTTTGAACAACCTCATATCCCAAGCCTTTCAATACGTTGGCAAAGAGAAGGTTCAACTCCATACAATATCCACCTCGCGCCTTCCTGACAATCTTGTCATACACAATGTCTTTATCGAGAGAAATTTTAGGGGCTGGAGAGTAGTGGAGAGCGAGATTCTCAAAGGGTATGCTGGAAAGGTGGCATTTCTGAAGTTGGGAGAGATACTTGAAACTCTCGTCCACACGATCTGCCGCGACTGTAGATTTGGGGTACTTCTTCACAGGAAACGAGATACGAGAGAGATAAGAGTCAATCTGCTCCGCTGAGTACATTTCTGCTTGCGAGGGCATTTCGACGGGCTGGAGGGCTTACAGGTATGTATCTGGAGTGAGCAGGCTGGATTTTTTAAGAGGATGTGGGAAACTTTCGATCCTTCGGCGGGGTATGTTGGTGTTGCAGCAGATGGCACAGCACCCCTGGCTGACCAAGTTACCAACAGGCAAGGATTCTATTTACCTACCGTACCGAGTAATCTTCAGCCTCGCGAAGTCTTGACGCGGCTAAAGTACAGCCTCGCATAAGCTGGTAATCTTGGCCCCCGCCGGAACCCCCGCATCTCGCAATTCTCTACCCGAACAACATCCGAATCAACATCCGACACTACCAATCACCGAGCTATGATGGTATAGGACCAGAACAATTCTCAGTAATACCTGAGCTTAAGGTTGCGGCTCTTGTCGCGGACTCTCTTCAAAGGCGCACATTTTCGCTCTATCCGGAAATATAACCCCGGTTAGGATCTACGTCAAAAGTGGGGTAGCTAGCTCTTCACGGGATATCCTCTGCTTGGAATGGATAACTTATCGATGAGGACTACTTGAGCTCCAGCTTTAGATATCTTCATTTGAACGAGTCCAAGAGAAGAAGAGATATAATACTAGTGCTTTATACTCTTCGTGAACGAATTACCGCCGGGCGCTCAAGCACTGAAGCAGCGAAGCCCCCAGAATCGAGCTTTCAGGTCGAGCTCAGGTCAACTGAGCAAACGAAATCCGACATCATGAGCTATTCAGAGTACTTGTATGGGAGAGGACAGGAAATTACTAGGTCGATAAACCAGGACCTATACGCTCTCTCTTCAATGTCAACCCCAGCAAAGCTCGGCGTCGTTGGCGCTGGTCTTGCCATTCTCCTCGCAATAAAGTTAATCTCTGCGGCGTTTCACCGCCCCCTATCTTCCAAATCCTCGATACCTACAAAAGCCCAACGGTCGCAGGCCATGAAACGGGAATTCAACTCGGTAGAAAAGGGCAATGAAAGTGTCCAAAATCTGGCTGATGTGAGTCCTCGCAATCTATGAGCACGTCTTCCACGGGGTATCATGTGTTGACTTGGGCAATTCAGTTGAAGAGGCAAGGAGAGCCAACGATGGAAATTGCACAGGTAAGACTTTTTCATGTGACAACCGGATTTTCGAATGCTAACTGTGCAAAGCTCTGGGTATATCCCATCAAAGCACTCCGAGGCTGTCAAGTTCCCACCGCCACCTTGACACCAGAGGGTTTCACTCACGATAGGAAATTTGTATTACTCAAGGATCTTGAGAAGACTCCTCGACAGGTTCAGCACATGGCCGTCACAAAATTTCCAAACGTCTGCCTCTTCCACACCTCTATCCAGGGGAACATACTCACCGTCACTTACCGGCCTCCCGGAGCCGCTCAAGCGGATGGCCAAGAGTTGAAAATTCCCCTGGAGCCGCCGAATTTCGACAAATCCGAGAGAATAGAGGTGAACATGCATTCCAGCCCGACGATTGCGTTCGACATGGGCGCGAAATATAATCAATGGTTCTCGGACATCTTCGGCTTCAAAGTTATCCTCGCATACTGGGGCGGCAATCCTCGCCAGGTTCTAGGGAACCTACCTGGTAAGCCCTCCAACGTCTCATCCAAGCCCCGGACGCCAATCTTCCGCATCCTCAACCAGGTTCCCATCATCAGCCGCCTTCTCCGACCAGACGACGGAGTAATCGCCTTCAACGACTGCGCGCCCTACCTCGTGATCACCGAGGAGTCGACCGCGGACGTAACCTCTCGGCTCCCCGACGGCATCACCATGGACATGACGAAATTCCGTGCCAACATCATCCTCCGCAAGTCGCCGGCGGCCTTCGACGAGGATTTCTGGGGCCAATTAATATTCGGCGACGATACGAGGATCATCTTGACGGGCAATTGCGGGAGGTGCGTCTCGTTGAATATCGACTACGCATCGGGCACCTCGGGGGCGGGCAGAGATGGACAGGTGTTGAAGCTGCTGTCCTCGGATAGAAGGGTGGATCCTGGGATGAAGTATAGTCCGATATTTGGCCGGTATGGATTTGTGAGTAGGCGGTCAGAGGGGAAGGTTCTGCGGGTGGGTGAAGAGGTGGTTGTTGGAAAGAGGAATGCGGAGAGGACTAGGTTCTGTAAGTCTTCCTTGATATTACTTCGAGCGACATCTGATTCTATGATGTAGATTGGCCGGGAATTTCGTCACCATAGGGGAGAGGGGGAGTTGATGTGAAAGATTTGGATTGGGTGGCTATCGCTGGTATGGGCTTCACTTTCGTCGTGACCGACGAGGTCCAGCATAGCCCGGATATAGGGGGATCGAGCGATTTCGTCGAGTTATCCAGGTTCGCGCGCGTACATAATACCTTCGTTTCCTTGGGGGCAGATTTTCAAAACAGCTTTATGCATCGGTCAGCAGTAGTAAGAGACACTATATGCGGCCATACAATGTTGATGTAGACGAAACTGGGTGCTGGGCTCTGGATATGATCCTGGCTTGGTAGACACCAGGATCTTTCAGAATCTTGGTGATTTGGTACGAAGCATTGCGGCCTTTTAGCGTTTGATCGAGACATTGGTGTATTTTTTATTACACTGTCTTTCTCATTAGGTTTGTACATATAGAGAGCTGAGATGGCTCTGTAGTACCTACCTTAGGTAAGGTAAGGTAAGGTAAGGTAAGTAAGGTAGGTTCTAGCAGCCTAGCGGAAGTCAGTGTGTCTTGGAGATACATCTCCCCTCTTCTCTGTACTTTAATAGACGTGCAATAACTACCCATCATACACTCAGTGCAGTACATCAACAGCTTTTCCTAAACAATGTTTCTATTCCCAACCCTTCCTTTTCCTTGAGTATTAATCGGGTTGCACAAGTACTCAATCACGTGATACCAGCCATCGCAAGACTGCAGGTGGAAAGAGGCCTTTTTGTTGCACGTCGCACCCATGACAAGCCTGGAAGTGTTGACCGGGGGGTTTGATGGCCTTGGGATTAGCATCATGTGATCCTATGAGTTTTGTTGCACGTCGCATCAGCGCTCATGGCAACGCTGCTCTCAATCGCAGCGGGATTAGCATCACGTGATACTAGACTCGTGATGCGGGAAGTTTTGTTGCACTTCGCGATTGTTGATACATACTTCGGAGATGATGACAGGGGGTTTTTGATGGCTCTGAGATTAGCACCACGTGATATCTCGCACGTCGAGTTGTGCTAAGGCATTTTGTTGCACATCGCATCCATGACAAGCGTGAGAGTGTTGACCGGGGGGTTTGACAGAGACAGGATTAGCATCACGTGATTGAAAGATCGAGGGGTGGGAAGTTGCCCAAGATTCGCAACGCCAACGCCGAATGGATACAAAACAGAACAGAACAATCGAAGCATCACTTCTTCTCACCTGTGCTTCTCTGAGGCATTCCATCCGTTCAAACCGGCCGCAATATCATGTCCAACTCCGCTTCACTCGCGGTTACTAAGGCAATTCCCGTTGGTTTCTCTTCCTCTGGCTAGCTACCTTGGCTATCGTAGGACGCTGAAGCAAGAGATCTACTACGCTCAGAGCCCAGCGCACTGCCGTAATCGAACAGGATACAGGCTCTACAACAGAGCATAACCAACCATAGTACAGAGTTGAGCGGCCCGACCTTCCAGAGTTCCGTCTGTGCAGATCTACAGCAGCAAATGCAGAATGGGTTCCAAACCTCAATGCAGCAATTGCAACTCTTTTGCAAAGCAGCTAGAAGTCTTAGACCAGTGGTATTTTAACAGGCCGATGGTGAGGTTCAAAGAACAAAATGCTTCCTCACTTAATAGCCTTCCTCACCATCGGCCTGTTGAAGCAACAGGTACAAGGCATAATACAGCATCTCCAGGCCATCGAGACGTAGGTACTCACCCCTTCTACACTACTATTTCCTTTGAACATTACATTTTACGAATCCTAGAGCTAACTAGTGCCAAAACAGAGAACGCAATGCAAATGCACGTGTCCATGATAGTTACCTGCGCCACACCCTCGAGCCTCTTATAGATATCGTTACTCGCGCACAAATTAGAGTATTTCCAACATCACTTGCAGTTATCGACGGAATGAGCAGTGAGTACACTTTGCTCCTTATACAAACAAATCGCTCTAACAAGTATTTGTAGGTACAGACATACACAGAATCTCTGACGAAAGATATTCGGTATGGTGCGGGATCAGTCTAAGCTACGGTACCTACGCTCATAGTAAAATGGACGAAAAAATGCGACAAAGCACATAAAAGGTGATATCGAAGTATTTGATCTATCCCCGATAGGAATGGATTCTGCAACCATTGCATATCGAGCACGATTCAGGGAGAATTTTCGACCTTAGATCTTATAAGGCTGGTATTTAGTCCACTCAAACACTTGTGTATAGTACGGTTTATTTTTGACCACATATCATATCCACTCACGGGGATAACTGAAGTATCGTCTTCAGCACCGAGAGATGGCTTATAGGTGCCAGATAGATAGATAGGCCCATCCATTACGAAAGAATCAATCATCCTCCCACCAGCGCATATATCACGTGATACCAATCCCACCTCCATGAAAACTCCTGGTGGGTGCAGAGCAAGAGGAGACAAAAAAAGCCTTTTAGAGTTGATTCCGAAGATTCCGAAGGATATGAGTGATGAATGTACACATCATCTAAAAAAAAGAGAAGGAGTTCAGATGCACCATTTTATAGAGATCGTGTCGTGATGTCATCAGGTCGCATCACATCATGAGATGGGCCATACCATTGATTGCCAGGAATATTGTTTGAGTTTCTTTCATTTACAATAACATAGATACATACATACATCAATATACATACATACAAAGCAGAGCCAAACCAGAAGAAATAATAACGTCGCGCCGCGCATTATTTTTCATTTCATCGCATCGCATCGCCAATCATTTAGGACATGATACCGGCCTTTCCATCGTGATCCGTGTCCTTCAGGGGGTTCAACTTGTCCATCAAGCCGTGCTTCTTGCTGGGTGTTGCGCCGCCGGTTCGCATCGGTGGAGTGGCGCTCCGGTCGTAGATGAGGCCGGTACTCTCGCCGACGCCGTACGAGCCGGTACCGCTGGCTCCGGTTGTGACACCTGTGCCGGCGACGCCTGAAGCGCGGCCCTTGTCGAGCCCGGTAGTGCGAGTGTGAAGGACGTTACCCTCGGTCAAGGAGGTGGTTCCTGATGCTCCAGTGCCGCCCAGGGTGCCGCCGACGGTCTTTGGCTCGCCGACGAAGGCATCGGTGCGTTCTTCGCGACCGGTAAGACGGCCCCCTTGATTTCTGAACTCATCCATAGTGACGGCGGGGAGTTGAGTAGCAGTGTGGTGTTTGGGTTCGTTCTGGTGGACCTCGTGGATTGGAATGGTGGTGTGGACAACGGATGGTTGGATGGTCTCCTTTTGCACGACTGGCTGAATGCTCTCGTGGACATGATGATGGACGTGCTCGGCTTCGACGGCCCCGAGATTGGCGCTGGTGTGTTGCACTTCGCTGATGGTCTTGGTGTTCTTGAACTGAGCCTGCTCAGCCGCAAGACGTTCTTTCACATGTTCCTCGTTGCCATGCTTGTAGTTGCGGGTCTCAACTTCTGCCGTGGTGTAGCCGTGTTGCTCGGGGAGAACCTCGCGATCTTGGATGGGCTGAACGGAAGTGTGGTAGTGATCTTGATGGACCTCTCGGTCGATTGCTTCTTGGGCTTCATCTCGTTCCGTGCGGATTACGTTCTCATGTTGCACTGCAGGGTTGATGACCTGTATAGGACGTCAATAGAGTCCCTTGAATAGAGGCAAGACGGCCTACCTCGTGGACAGTAGTGTCATGCTTTCCATCCCTGGCGAGGAAGTTGTCAACTGCTGCCTTTGCCTTGTTCATGGTGGCTTAGAGTGTGTGTATGATGATGAGAATGTGAAGCTCTGTGTGTAATTGATGTACGATACAAGAAGGCCAAAAGAGATGTGGCTCATTGCTAACTAATATACGCAGGAACGAGGAAGTAACCAACTGACGTAGCCCTGGCATGACCTCTCACGAGAGGGGCTACCTACATCATCAATGACGAAGGACGGAGAGCGGCAAGAATAATGCGAGTGGGATGCACAGTAAGACATGGAGACTCGACAATCTTGGTATGTTCCCCGCGGACTCAGCAGCTTGCATGATAGGAGGAAACACCGTCAGCCACACAGAGAATAGAGAGATGATATCAGGGCAGCGGGCGAATTCCTCGCCTTCAGTGGCAGGAGTTTAAAAAGTGGAGTGACTGCTGTGAGAGCCAGACAACTCTCGAGACACAGGCGAAAATGATGTCTGCTTTAAAAGAGACCTCGAGCTGGCGAGCACTAGGCTTTGGGCAGAGATCAGGTGGGTTCGAGTCGTCCAGCCCATTCAAGACTCTTGTTCTGATTTCATCTTGGCAGCTTCTATCCAAAGTTCGGCGACAAGGTTAGGAGACGCTGATCTTAAAGCCAACCTTATGAGTGTTAAGGTCGACCTGCCCGAACCTAGGGTCGATCTTGAAAGCCTCGAGGTCCCAGAAATCCAGGGCTGCTTCGAGTGAGGGGCTAAAGAGGCTTATCCATCTGACTGAAATTGCATGAACATATAGAATCCAGACGTCCTGGGGATGCTCTTCATGCTCGGATGGATTAGCATAGCAAGAGGATAGTGAGAGCAAGCGGAGAGAGCAATTCTAGAGACGTCACTAATCATTATGGAGGAAAGAAAGGGGAGAGAGCAGACATGTTTAGAAAGAAGAACCGAGGTCGCCACCACTAGGTAGAGTATAATAGTTGTAAATGAGATGCGAAGCAATGATAGGTTCCAAGACGAAGAACCATTTCGCTTCTATGTTAACGTGCACAGAGGGCTACAGAGTAGTAATGGACTTGGCACTTAGCAGACGATCACGGTTCGCAGTAGACCGCAAGGAGAGCAGTGCACTTCCAGAACCCTCCCAGGATCTTGGATAGATTAGACCCTGGGCAACTCGCCCCTGTGCACTGTCCTTCAAAGGGATTAGCCCCGTACGTATGCTGTGGCCCTGTGGGGTGCGTCCTTGTAAAGGTCAAACGCTGGAGTCGTTGAAGTAGTGCACCCTGGTGGGTTGTGGCTACGAACATTCGAAGCTGAGCAGAGATCATCATTTCCTCCACCAGGGAAAAGGCCTCATGTCTGCCTTCAATGATCCAATCAGGCCCCGCGGCCAAACCTCTCAAGACCCAAGACCCGGCACGGCAAGACAAGACGGCCAATCATACCGAGTTGCTGGCAGTGGCCGCGCCACCCGTCTGGGACTCTGGGACTCTGGGTCCTGGGAGGATCGGGAGGGGCCCTGGGTTCGACGAGACGGGCGGGATGGGATCATTGTCGCTGGCGACAATTCGACGGCGCCGTGGTGGTGGTGGTGGTGGTGGTGGTCATTGGTGTGAAGTGGGTGGTGGGTGGTGAGTGGGTTGGTAGGTGTTCGTTCTGCTGCTCTGCCGCTCCTCCTGTCCCTGTTCTTGTTCCGCGTACAGTGGGTTAGCAACAAAATTCCAAAATAAATTTTCCATGGAAGAGGGCAAAGGGGTCGTAAACCTCACCATCACCGTCACTGTTGATTCTCCTGACTCGTCCCGGTGCTGTGGCTGCGGTTGAAGTCAAGTCAATTCAATTTGTCGCCGTAGATCCCAGATCAGATCCCTCGCGTCTGTGAAACACCCCGCCTGAGGCCTGGTCCGAGCAGAGAGAGTTGCGATTGCGATGGGGTCGCGCATCAAGAGCTTCTTGTTTGGTAAAGCATCGTCCTCAACCCGCGACAACCGTCAAAATCTCCCATCTCAGCCCTACGACGCCGCCGTCCCTCGCGATGCGCCGCTCAGAGGCTCCCAACCCGTCTCAGGCAATGGCCCTCCCGTCCTAGGGAATCTCCGGCGCGGGAGGCTCAAGAGACAGTCGATTAGCACCCCCAGCGCCGCAGCAGCTCCCTCCGTCCCACGACACCGCGGTCAAGATCATCCTTCTACGGGGGATACGGCGGATACAAACACCAACACAGGAGATACGGAGAGACCAAAGACCGCACCGCATCATGCTGCCCGTCCCAGCGGGGGAGCGGCGGGAGACGGCGGGGCGGCAGGAGGAAGACCACGGTCGGGCTTCTCGATGAAGAGTCCGCCAGCCTTCCTCGACCCCAGCAAGAGGAGGAGGAGTTCCGTGGCCAGTACTCGTAGCAGACGGAATTCATTATGGGCAATAGGGACGACTACGGAAGAACCGCCTCCTCCTCTGCCGACTGCGATATCTCCAGCGGCAGAATTGCAAGCCGGCGCATACCCTCCTCCAGAACCGTTTACTCCTCCGTTCGCAAGGCAACACGCGCGCAATTCCTCGGGGGCTTCGCACAAGTCGTACATCGATATATTGGACGCGCACTCTAGTATCAATGGCTCACGGGAGGCGTCGAGGCACCGGGCAAAGGCGTCCGGACTACGGAATTACGGGGAAGATGTAGCAGATCGTAACATCACGCAGTTTGGAGAGAAGGGGGATAAGGGGGAGAGGGGGGAGAAGGGGGAGAAGGGAGAGAAGGGCGAGAAGTCTAAGAGAGGTAAGAGAGGCACGCGGGACCTGGACCTGGACTCCCCGGAATTCAGCTATCTGAAGCACATATATTCGCCTGAGGGAGGGCAAAATGTTCCCCGCGTCGATGGCTCCGCAGAGAAGAGCCATCGTGAGAACCATGATGCTGTTGATGCTGATGTTCACGTCCTAGCGCGTGGCGGCGGCCCCGGCAGTGGCAGTGGTGACGACATGAGGGCGCCGACGATCTCGACGACGACACCAAGTCTCCCAGCTCTTCAAACGGCTCTTCCGCCCAAGTCAACGACCCCTCCGCCTCCATCCTCCCCCCGAATATCTTCCATTCGATCATTTACGGCGCCCCGCCCCGGAATAGTCTATCCCCCTCGAACTGACTCGTTCCGCTCACATCATTCGGCCTTCGCTAGTCGTAGTGACGATGACCCTCTCGCCACATCCAATGGGCTTCAAGACCGAGACGACCGGACTCTGTCCATTGCACCTCGATCCTCCGCCGCCTCGATACACGAACGCGGAGCTCCCCAGAGTCCTCAGGACCATCAACACCAGTCAACGCGTCCCGCCAGAACAAGAGCCGTCTCGACCCCTACGATAAGCACAGATCGAGGGAGGCAACGCTCCACCTCACTAGCATCAGCATCAGCATCGCTGAAAAACACGTCCGACGACCACCTTATCCCTCCTCTACCCACCACTCTCCCCTCGTCGCCGCGCAGCAGTCCACCCAGCAGTCAGTCCGACATGGTGTTCGGCTTTGGTTCGAGAAAGAAGAAACGGTCGTCGGCTTCAAAGACCACCACAACTGCGGCCCCTCGGGTGCCAAGTTCGTCTGGAGGCTCGTCGTCCACAAGTAATGGGTATACCTCAGCGCGCAGTGAACGTTCGGTAGCGGCCAACGGAGGCACGCAGCCGTCCACCCATGGGAGGACCACTTCCTCAAGCGGAAATCAACCGGTTCTAACGTCGTCAAACGCAGCATCAGAAAGCCCACCTCTCCCCTCTGCTGCCCGAGTCGAAAGTCGAGCTTCAGATTCGGCCGGTCCCAACGCTTCCTCTGTCCCCACAAGTAACGGAAACCCCAGAAAGGGCCTGATCGTTGATCGCGCTTCTGAACCACCCGATCTTAAAGGAGTGGTGGACTTGAAGGACTCAGTTGATACAGATGTCACCACCAAAACATTGCCTGGTACATGGTCCCGTTCAACTCGCCCCCGCAGTTCTACTTCCCATGCTTGAACTTATTCACCTCTACTATTGTCGCTTCATGCTTCATCATATTATGTCGCAGACCCTCGTTCTTTTCCGCCTGAGAATTGGCCCTTCTCTAAGGGTCAATCGCAGGTCTCATTGTGTCCCGCAATTTAAAACTAGCAATTTGGCAACTAGACTAATGTCTGCTTTCTTACAGCCGTCATTCATGAGCATATAACTCCTACGCAGCACCAAATACGAGAAGAAAGGACAACACGAGAAATCCATACACATGAAGTATACCACCGCGTCCTCCCAGTCATCGAAACGGAAATCCTCCCTACGAAACATTATCTTCGTGCAGAAGATGGCAAGACCCTCATTGAGATACCCGAGTCTGACGTCCCGAAGTATGCTGTGTCTGGAAGGGAGGCTCACAATTGGCACATCGCGCCAGGGCCCGGTCCGTGCCGTCCGACGAATAGCGCTGATAGCGTAGATCCATCAGAGATGGACAGTGCCGACTCTCCAGTCATTGGCCTCGCGCGTGGAGAGCCAAATTCGCGTTCGAGAAGAAATTCCACAAGATCGAGCAAATCCAGCGGATCGAGAAGGAAAACTTTCCTCGAGCCAATCCTGACCTCGAAGAAGGAATACATGACCAAAGAAGGCTACCCAAGAACCGAATATGTTTGGCATCACCCTCCCGTCTTTGAGACCGCGGACGGAAAAACAAGCCCAATATATGTAGGTGCAGGAATCGGTGACTTGAGTCGCCACATATACTCCAGTGACGAGTATGAGGATGGGGGAGAGTCTAGCACTGCGAATCAGGAGAGCGATTTATTATTCAAAAATCTAGGCTATGGAGGGTCGGGCATGCTCCCAGGACTCCGGGACAAGAGTCCCGTCGCCGAGTGGTGTACTCCGGATGCAGATAATGCGGTTGACAATGACCATGACCTGTATGAGGACGACGTCAAGACGACGAGATATCCGGCAGGACCGGCGAATGGCAAGGGAATTGACGGCATGGTACAAGGAATGAGAAACATGAAGGTTAAGTAATGGATTGCTATATGTGATATATGTATGTATGTATGTATGTAAGATATGTATAATATATAGGACGGCGACGAAAAGGGGGTGGCGGAACTGAATCAATCGGCTGGTTGATCTCTGAATTGGTATGTATATCTATCTACTTACCTACATATCTGTAATTTATATTATGATATTATTATTACTACGAGCAGATCTCTCTGATCCAGCCCATGCCAAAATCAAACAAACCGCACACCTTTCAATCTCCCTGGCATCACGTAGCGCAGCTCTCCAAGACCATGAGGTGTTTTTGTTGCACATCGCACATTGTCAGCGGAGGTGTTGATGGCAGTGGGGTTAGCATCACGTGAAATACCTCAGAGAGGAAGAGAGAATTAGAAAGGTTTTGTCGCACATCGCACATCAGCAACGCCGGCTTTGATGGCAGTGAGATTAGCATCACCTGACATAGGTCCCTTTCCCCAGGTTTTGTTGCACATCGCATCCATGACAAGCGTGGAAATGTTGAAGGGTGGTCTTGATGGGAGAGAGATTAGCATCACGTGGTGCAGCTCTCCAAGTCCTTGTTTTTGTTGCACATCGCATCCATGACAAGCTTGCAACTGTTCAACCGGGGGTCTGATTGTGACAGGCTTAGAGAGAATTGGAAAGGTTCTGTTGCATATCGCACATTAGCAACGTTGGTCTTGATGGTTGTGAGATTAGCATCACCTGACATGGGTTCCTTTCCTTAGGTTTTGTTGCACATCGCATGCATGACAAGCGTGGAAGTGTTGAAGAGTGGTTTTGATGGCAGTGAGATCAGCATCACCTGGTACAGCTCTCCAAGTTCTTGTTTTTTGTTGCATATCGCACATCAGCGACGCTGGTTTTGATGGCAGAGAGATTAGCATCACGTGACGCTAAACAGGTGATACAGGACGGGAGGGGGTGAGGAGGACGGGAGTTTTGTTGCACGTCGCACATTGGCAATGCCAGCTTCGATGGCCATGAGATTAGCATCACGTGATGTTAGACCGGTGATATGGGAGGGGGTGAGGAGAATTAGAGAGGATTTGTTGCATATCGCACATTAGCAACAGCGCTCTTAATTGTAGTGAGATTAGCATCACATGATATAAAGAGGGCGAGAGAGAGAATTAGAAGGTTTTGTTGCATATCGCACATCGCACATTGTCAGCGCCGGTTTCGATGGCATAGAGATTAGCATTACCTGACGCGAGAGGAAAGGGAAACTTCCAGGTTTGTTGCACATCGCACATTGTCAACGGTGGTTTCGATGGTTGTGAGATTAGCATCACGTGATGATATAGAGAGTGAGAGGAGAATTGGAAGGTTGTGTTGCACATCGGGCATTAGCAACGCTGGCTTTGATGGCAGTGAGATTAGCATCACCTGACATGGCTCACTTCCAGGTTTCCTTTTGTTGCACATCGCATCCATGACAAGCGTGGAAGTGGTTTCGATGGAACAGAGATTTTTGAAATAGAGAGGGAGAGGAGAATTAAGAGGATTTGTTGCATATCGCACATCAGCAACAGCGCTCTCAATTGCAGTGAGATTAGCATCACATGATATAAAGAGGGCGAGAGAGAGAATTAGAAGGTTTTGTTGCATATCGCACATTGCACATCAGCAACACCGGCTTCGATGGTTGTGAGATTAGCATCACGTGATATCAGACCGGGGATTTGGGGAGGAGGCTTGTTGCACATCGCACATTAGCAACGCTGGTCTTGATGGCCGTGAGATTAGCATCGCGTAGTATAGGATCGTGTAGCTTGAGGGTTAGAGGGGAAGGCGGGAGGTTTTCAGCCTTATCCATTCATACAACTACAAAACTGTGCCAACCCCGCAAACAAAACTGAAGTCAAGAGCTGCCTGCGCTCAATAATTCTTCTGCATCTCCTTCTTCATCTCCGGGAAATCAGGCACGATGGGATGTGCATTATGATCCTGTCCCGCCACCGGCGGAGCTACATATTCCTTCCTCCCGGCCTTGTGCACCCTCCCATTGATCAGGATCACGTTCAACTTCTCGTGATCTTGCAGGATGCTGATGTCCTCGAGCGGGTTCCCATCAACGAGGATGCAATCGCCGTAGAACCCCTCCTGGATCCGTCCTAGCTCCTGCTCGCGCATGAATAGCTTGGCTACCCCGGCTGTCGCCGCGATGATGGCTTCCATTGGGGTGAAACCTAGGAGGTTCACGAAGTGCGCGAGATCCCGCGCGTAGGTGCCGTGCGGTGTCCAGGCAAACCCGTAATCACCACCTGGAAGGATGGTTATTCCTCGTCGATGCATCTCTCTGAGGCCTCGGATAGCGGCATCGAGCTCCTTTTGGTACCCGACTTCTTGAGCTTTCTCATTGGGATATCCGAATGCCGCGGCGTCGTGAACTTGATGCGTGACTTGTCAGAATGGCTTGTTTTGTTTTTGTGTCACCAGGGAGGGGGAGTCTTACGGGTTCCAATTAACCAGTTGAGCCCTGGGGCGACCACGTGTTTGGTCTTCTTGGCTTCGAGCATATCCATTCCCTCGTCGTCGATGTAGGAGGCGTGGTAGATCACATCTACGCCATGCCTCACGCACATCTTGATGGAATCACGGGCTCGGGCATGGGCACATAATCGTCGACCGAGGCTGTGTGCTTCTTCGACACATGCCGCCGTCTCCTCATCGGAGAAGTAACAATCCTGCGCTGCGCGGATTTCAGTGATCTAGAGATCATCAGCACGTTCAACCACGATGGGACGGAAGATGTAATGCTCACCTCTTCTCCACTCATACTCAGTTTTACTTGATCAACACCAATATTAACATGGTGTCTGATTACTTGTCGCATCTCGTCGGGACCATCGGCATATGCTGTGATGCCAGGAACGAGATCCCCGTCCCTTCGTGCCATCTCCTGTCCGTTAGCCAGGTATCGAGGACCGGGTATATCTCCGGCATTGATGGCGTCACGGATCACAACGTCCAGTCTCTCTTTCGCCGATGCTGCTCCATAGCACCTTGTCACGATCAGCTATCTCCCTTCATTCAAACAGATAGATGGAAATGGTTGTTCAGCATAGTATCGAGCAGGAGACTTCCCAGCCAGATGAACAAGACAAGAGGGGCATACATCGTGTATCCAGAGTCAATGTAGCACTGTGCACTTCTTGCAGTCAGGAGAACATGCTCTTCCACCCCTAACTCTCCCAAGCGGTTCATATCCCCGCCATTCCACGTGAAATGCGTATGTGCATCGCCCAAACCACTCATCAAGGTCCTACCCCGACCATGAAATACTCTAACCTTCGGATCCTTCTTCAGCTCCTCCACGCCCGGCACGACGCCTACCCGAGTGATCCTCTCCCCTTCGATCAGCACATCCCCAGCATAGGGATCACGTCCTGTGGAATCCAGAATCTGCACATCGGTGAACAGGATCCTGGATTCCGGGTGCGTCCCCCGGATCTCGTAGTTCTTGGGTTGTAGCGACTTGTCGAATGTGATGGCGTCGATGTTGGCTATGTTCCGAGGCGGACCTGAGTAGCGTTGCTCTGATATGCTTGCTTGGCTGAAGCTGGGGAGAGGGTCGTCAATCCTTGAGGGGGCCATCGTAAGTATGTAAGTGGTATCCTGAATAACTAGATAATAGGTAGATATTAATGAAGAAGAGAAAGTTGCAAGCAAGCTTGGAGTTCTTGGACGATTAAAGGGGATACTAGCCACTGTGCCTATATAGCTGGGGCTTACATATATCAAGGATTCAATCCTGAATCAACACGCGATTATCAATCTCTGGGCATGTATGTAAGTGTCTCAAACTAGAGATATCACAGTCTCCCTTCCCCGCATTCCAAGAGAGCAGCTCGGGTATGCGGACCGATGCTCAGCTCCATGGGAACGTGTTACCTGGTGTAGATTTGTCAGGTTGTTGACAGGAGATCGTGGTTCCCTTTCATTTTACAGCAATCCCTTTCCGGACAGGGTTTCGTTGTAAATGCGGGGTGCCGTTGTGACTGGGATATGTGCTCTTCTCCACCCCCACCTTGTCCGCCTTCTCCGCCCTCCCCGTCCTCCCCGCCCTCCCCGCTATTACGATGCGGGTGTTGCGCGGCATCGATCAGATTAGATCATTGAGAGCGGACAGTCCGGGTAATAGCTTCTCCAGGCTCACTTGTGCCTGTGATCCGTTATCATCGATCGATATACTCATAAGTCTCCTCGTCTCTGACCATCGATTCATTCCCCTAAGTGCAATTGAATTTCCAAACCACACCAGCTTCTCCAGGTCACATATGAGAATGGGCTGGTTAAAGCGTACTTCTCATCCCACTGTCAACCACGCTACCTCGGAAGATATCCCGAAGCCCACATCCGCCCACATCGAGCACATACCCAGCGGTACAGCGCCATTACCAAGATACCCCGCCGCGCCGCTCTCGACTCCTGATGCCGCACTTCAATTTATACCCGCCGAAGAAATTGCAAAACGGACATCCGCGGAAAGCGGAGGTCTCTGTATGTTCAAATCTCTCACGCTTCTCTATAAAAATAACAACTCTTCTAACGAACAGCAGTAATCGTCGTCGATGACATCGTCTACGATTGCACACAGTTCTTATCGGAGCATCCGGGCGGGGAGCAAGTCATCCGCTCATTCGCTGGGACGGATTGCAGCTGGCAGTTCTGGCGCTTTCATGGAAAAAAGGAAATGCAGGAGTTTGGAAGGCCGCTGAGAGTCGCCAGGACGGCGGGCGCGAAGAACAGGTTTAAAGAGCCGCCAAGATATATTGGTTTGAGGCGGCTGGGGGATGAGTGGGATTGAGATGACTATATATGTTGGGAAGGGAACAGTAAAATGATGAAAGATGGTGTTCTGAGAGGGCTTTTTGGAGTGGTGGTTATAGAATCATGAGGGTTGTTGATCAATCTAAGGCTGGGATAGGATGATAACGGCAGAAGGAATAACTTGTAAGAATAAGGACGAGTGAAAGACAAGCAAGTTCTCGCATTTGAGAATAGGATGGATCCAACTGCGTAATTCAACAATGCCCATGCAACTCTGCCCGTCTGAACTCCAGGAGTCGAGGCAGACCGCGAAGAGGAAACCTAGTCCCATGCCGCAAATTGCACAGCATCATTTGCTCGTGTCGTATACATTGAGAGAAGAGGGGAAAGCTGGGGCGAGTAAGTCCAGTTGCATAACAGCCATCCATGGCCCATGGGCATGCTGAGCAACAAGCCCTCGCAACTTGCAAGTGCCGTGGCCGAAGACCAATACCCGGAGAGAAAAGACGCAGAACCAGAACACAGGGTAAACGCATAGCCGAGTTGTGGATATGATCGCGAGGAGATGTGGCCAATGTAAAGGCGATCATCGATTGTTGAGTCTGCGCGGGTTGCGGTGTTGTGGAGGTTGACATTGCAGGGGCGGCGGACATGTCTCGGAGATGGCGGCGGAGGGGCGGAGATGGCGGAGATGGCGGAGACGGCGGGGCCGCTAGAAGGTGGGATGAAAACGCGTTTTGGCGAAGCGTCGCGGGGTAAAGATGTTGGACATTGGGAACCGGTTTTATTTAGCAGCTAGGGAGAGCTCCATGAAGATGGGAGTTCATAGTATCCTGCAACAATAGTCCTCCTTATTATTCCTCAAGTTCTCCTGTCCTCTCTGACCTACAAGTATACCCGTTTCAGTCGATTGGCAGCTTAGAATTCTCTCATTCTCTCACTCATACCAATCCATACCACGGAAACTATCGTTCAAGAACACACATATCCCACGATGGCTACCAACGGCCATAGCAATGGAGCAACCGACAGCTTCACAAACTATGTTGCCTACCGAGACCCCAAGGCTCTTGGACAAGAGCGGATTGGACATCTTGACCTTGAGAAATCAACCATTCAGCCCCTGAGCTTTCAATCCGGGGCCCCAATTTCTGATCTGTACCAAGTTATCGAGATCGGAGAATCACATATCAAGCAATCGGGGGAGGTAATTTCTCTCTCCTCTGTGGAGTTGCTCGCACCTATCAGTGGCAGAGATGTTCTCGCCGTGGGCAAAAACTACTCGGAACATGCCAAGGAGTTCAATTCATCAGGCTACGATTCCAGTGATAAAGTCGACCAGCCAACTCATCCAGTTATCTTCACAAAACGAGCAACGAGCATAATTGCCAGCGGTGAGCCAATCTTCCCACACCAAGGGTTTACTGAAACCTTGGATTATGAGGGGGAGATCGGTGTGATTATTGGGAAGGGTGGGTTTAAGATACAGGAAGCGGATGCCATGAATCATGTTTGGGGATATACGATAATCAATGGTTTGTAGACCCGATGTTTGTGAACCCGATCTTGAAGGCTGATATCAGTAGACGTAACTGCGCGAGAAAGGCAGAGAGATCACAAGCAGTTTTATATTGGAAAATCTGCGGACACGTTTTGTCCCATGGTACGTATTTCTCTCTGACTGGTCTCAGGAAAATAGGCTTAACAAACTACAGGGCCCAATTGCTGTCCCAGCACACAAACTACCAAAGTCACTCGGGGTCCAGACCTTTGTCAATGGTGAGAAAAGACAAGAGTCGACAATCGACCAGCTTATATTTTCTGTCCCGTTCTTAATCAAGACACTTTCCGAGGGACAAACACTCCAGCCTGGCGATGTCATTGCCACTGGAACGCCAGCAGGCGTTGGCTTTGGACAAAAGCCCCCGGTTTTCCTCAAACCAGGAGACGTAGTGGAGGTATCAGTCACCGGTCTTGGTGTGCTGAGAAACACGATCGCAGAGCCGTCCGCAAAGAATCAAACAGTTCCTCGTGTTTCCAAAATTACGCACATTCAGACCAGTAACCTCAACAAGACCTGTGGGGGAGTCGGTCTCACTTCCATCAACTCGAAGCACCTGTACTACCGCCATGCCGGGAACCCGACCGGCTCACCTATAATATTCATTCACGGCCTTGGGGGATCGTCTGAATACTACACCCCCTTGGTATCCTCTCTCGGGCTGGAAAAGTCCTACTCTCTGCACTTCCTTGATCTTGAAGGACATGGCCTCTCCCCTACATCTGCGGCTTCTACTGTTTCAATATCCAGTTACGCATCAGATTTTCATGCTTTGGCCCAACATGCCAAGATCAGCGGAGCAACTGTCATCGCTCATAGCATGGGCTGTTTCATAGCTCTCACACTGGCCATCAAATATCCAGAGCTGGTCTCTAAATTGGTGCTGATAGGACCACCCCCGAACCCACTGCCAGAAGGTGGTCAGAATGGATCCATCGCTAGAGCAGCGATTGTGCGAGGTTCTGGTATGGCCGCTGTCGTCGATGCAGTTGCAACAGCCGGAACATCTGCCCGGACCAAAGCCGAGAACCCATTGGCTATTGCTGCCACTAGAATGTCCCTCCTTGGCCAGGATCCTGAAGGATATGCCAAGGGTTGCACAGCACTTGCAGGAGTTGCGCAAAAGCTTCCCGTGCAAGAAATCAAGGCGAAGACTCTTATTGTCACCGGGGATGAAGACAAGGTCTCACCTCCACAGGTATGCGAGAATTATGTAGGGGAGATCAAGGGAGCTGAACTCCAAGTCCTACGTGAAGTTGGACACTGGCATATATTTGAGGATTTGAAGGGCGTTGCGGGTGCAGTAGAAGCATTCCTGAAATAAGGCAGTGCACAAGAGGATTTAGCATAATATCAGAGCCCAGATATAGACCAACAAGCCATAGATTATGTCTAGTTTGGGATGCGCATTGTATAGGATTTTAGAAATGTGTTGTAAATCATTTTCCATCTCCCCCGTTGAACCCCTCGCTTCTGGTAAAAGGGGCCGGCCAGCCTCCCTCTCGAGAACCCAACCAGACTTTCATCCTTAACAGGAGCCACGAAAAAAGAACGAAGAGGACATACTATTTTCTACTGCCAAAACTGTAGTTTGACAGCCTCGGAAGTATTTACCATTTTTGCCACACGTGACAGCTCTAGCCCCGAAGTACATGGGTATTTACATACAGCAGAACCCCGCATTTCGGAGAAGCCGCAACATCCTCTGTATCAGATGGACGAAACCAATCCACAAAACTCTACGGGCCATTCAGTATCAACTTTAAGATCTTCCATGAGTGTACGACAACCCGTCAGTTGCGAGCCTTGCCGGCGACGTAAAATCAAATGCTCGAGGACCCGTCCTCCATGCGATACATGTCGGCGACGGGGATGCGCAGACCTTTGCGTCTACAAAGGCTACAAAGCCACTCGAGACGAAGGCTACGCAACTGCTCTTGCAGTGTCAAATCAGGAATTGCTGGACCGAATTAGCAATCTGGAATCTTTATTGCGGGAACACACTGGAGCTCAGATTCCTGCTGCTGCTGGCGAAATGACCAGCTCAATGATCTCTCCGCCAGTTGAACCGATTCAGCCATCTCAGCTACGTCCTGAAGCTTTCACTCCAGAGACTTGCTCCCCCCTATCCTACCAACCCGAGCGTCTGGCCTCTCGTGGCATAGGGGTTTTGACTTCGTCTCCGAACGGAGACGTTCGCTACGAACCACGATCATCTCAGTGGAGTTCTGTACTTGCGAACACTGGTCTGTCAATTGAAACTGCATCCTTGGATGCCCAGAATGATTCCGAAACCACGTTGGGCTTTCCTTTTGCCACTTCTGGAACCTCGACTTTTGATGAGTTGCTTGCTCTGCTACCTCCCATGCGGCAATGCGACTATCTCGTAAATACGTACTTTACTGTTTTTTCTCCAGCAAGTATACCCGTAGTATTATCTTCCCATCAAAATATCTGACATTAAACTAGCTTTTTCACATCCTTCACGATCCAACATTCTATGAACAATATAAACAGTTCGTAGGCGATCCCACGTCTGTACCCGTGTCGTGGCTAGCAATTCTCTTCGTTTTGCTATCTCTGGCAGTCACTGCTTTAGAAGAAAGCGACCCAGTTCTTCGAGATTTGGCACGGGGTCAAAATGCGTGCAACAATATCCGAGTACTAAGTAGACGTTATCGTGAGGCGGCGATGAAGTGTCTTGCACGGCAGGGAGTGTTATGGGGAAAGCACAATGTTCAATCATTACAAGCTATGATTATTCTGGTTTATGCCCTGAGTCATTGTCAAGAGCCCACCTGGATCCTTCTTGGTAAGCCATACTTCATTCACAGGCCTCCACCTTCCTTTTCATTGAGACACGCTTGGTGATTCTCATCTCGCAATATATTACATTCCATCCTCAAAATCCTTCGAACTAAAGCTGAGATAGGAATGACTTATCATGTTGCTGTTGCACTGGCATGCCACATAGACCCAGAGAATTTTGAATTGGATCCTATTCAGTCAGAAGAGCGGCGTCGTTGCTGGGCTGGTTTGATGATGCTCTACACCATTCAGAATACTTTCCTCGGGAATTCCGACCCCTCATGGCGTATAAATCATAACGTGAAACTCCCAGCCGACGTCAACGATCTTGATATCACTTTGTCCGGCATAAAAGAGAATACCTACGGCCCGACACAGATGACTTATCTCCTTTTCAAGTTCCAGCTATACGACCTTAACGCCAAGATTTGTGGAGAGATCTTCAACTCTGATGAGCTTAGCCGGCAGACCATCCAGGAGCTGGACAACCAGATCTGTCATGCGCAGGAAACATGGGACAAACGCTATCTCGCCGACTCTACCTTCGATGCCTTACCCGCTCACCACGCCGTTCATCTCCATATTCTGCACGGCTACTCTCATCAGCTATTCCTACTCCTCCACCGACCTTTCTTCGCGCAATCAATCCTTGGCCTGGATATCCCCAACGAGTCCCAAATCCGCTGCATTGCATCCGCCGAAGCACTCCTCGACATCCACCGTATCCTATCCGAAAGCCCAAATTTCAGACCCTACCTGTGGTACACGAACGGTCTCGGTAGCTTCCACGCTTTCCACGCAGCGGCAGTTCTGGCCGTGGCGCTGCTCATGCCGATCTACAAACCGCAATACCAAAGATTCAAAAGGATCCTCGATGAGACATTGACGAGATTCGAGGCCTCGTCTGGAAGAAGCAAGATCTGCGAGAAAGCGGTGAAGATCTTCAAGTTCTTACTGTGAGTTGAAATTATAAATAGGAAGAAGGAATGAATCATTCGGCTAATATGAGTATTTCAGTGCGATGCCATCTCCAAACCAGACATCGAGTCTCAATCTGACTCCTGGAAGCGCAGGCAGTACTCAGAGTGATGACGGGTTGTCATATGATCAGATGAAACTATTCGCCGATCGACTACAGCCCGAACACTGGCTCGCTCCTTCAAATATAGCTTGGGTAAGACCCGTTTCTTCACCTCTCAAGCTATCTAAATCAAAGTATATGAACTAAATAAAGAATCATTTAGACTGAGTGGGAGAATCTGATGACTGCCAACACGATATAGATGAGTGAGTCTTAGACCTAAGCAAAAATTGTCTACGGGCCTTTAAATAATAAAAGCCAGAAGGAACACAGAGGTAATGTATAATCATGGATTCCTAACTGTGATTAACTGCTCTTTACTAATATGTATCCCAGAGAACAATCCCGTCTGATATCTCCATACATACATAAGAGCACTTCCAACATCCCACTCCTTACTCTCTGACCCAGCAGAAATAAGTACCTAGGTAGACCGCGTATCTAGAATCCCTACATAAGCCCGACATTTCCACATTCCCGCAGTCATTCATAGCACGCATCTGCATTAGATTAGGAACATGAACTTGGTTGGGGCCTTCTATATTATAAGTAATAGTAATATAAGAGAAGATTTGTATTCTTTCTGGGAAATACTATGGTAATAATTGGATTATATTAGGTGTTAGATAGGAGGTGGAGATATGTGAAAATTAGATATGTCGTTATATAGTATATTGGGTTTTAATGGGCTATGAGAATTAAGGAGAGAAAATTATAATAATTGCCCCTCTTTTGTTTTGTTTTTTTCGGGAAAGAAATCTTGGGGGGGGGGGGGGGTGTTTACCCCTTATATTCAGATCATGTCCCCTCACATTGACACATCCCCCGATCACCAAATAAAAAAACTCCAAATTATAATCTCTATAGTAAAAAAAACCAAAAACCTACTATCTATCTACGCTATGGTATATAACCTTACAAAAGCCAAAAAGCAAAAGCAAAAGCAGTCAAAAGACAAACGCACGCTACGAAGCTATCTATTAAGGATCTAAAACGAATTACTCACTCCCCTTCGTGACCTGTATCATGTGTCTCGGGAGTTTTCTCTTCTTCATCATCATCATCATTAATACCTTCTTCTTCTTCCACTCTTTGCTTTCCAGTTGTTTCCGGGACCTTAGTAGCGGTAGCGATATTATTAGGTTCGTTCTTTGATTTTTCTCTGCCTCCTCCCTTTTCAACTTTCTCTTTTCCTTTCAGTTTTGAGGACATTCCCTCATTGGAGCTATAACCCGCGGTTCGGATACCCCGGAGCTCTTTCACCATCTCAGCGAAGCCTTCCTCGAGCGTTTTCATCCGCGCGAGCATCAGACGACCCATCATGCCCTCGGTATCCTCGTCTCTGGCTTTTAGATTCTTTAATCCGCCCGTCGCCATCGCCATCTGCGTAGCGAAGGAGTTGGGAACCATGACGGGACCCGTGCCGTCGAGACCGAGCTCAGACATACCCATGTCCAGCGAGGAGTGGCGGTGGCGCATGGGCCGCTGGGGAAGTTGTTGCGAGTGAGCGGAATCTAAGATGTTGGCGTTGGGAGACGAATGGAACTGCTGCCGCGCGGGCATGATTGGCCGCGGCTTCGTGGAGGTCGTTGTGTAGATGGAATGACGAGGGGTTCGATGGCCAGCTTTCGGGCCCGAGCCCATCGGCGTATGCGTTCCGGTGTTTGCAGTTGAACGATGTTTAGCTGTTAATGGGCGTGACCTGGGCGGCGAAGCGGAGGAGGAGTGACGATCTACAACTGGGTTATACAGTATCGTGTTGGTCGACATGTTGCGAGCATGATGTTTTTGTTTTGATGGCGAAGGCTTCGGAGATGTGAAGTTATCGGCAGCCAATAATTTGGGGGATGAAGTGGTGGAGGAAGATAGCGGTCCGCCGGATCCAACTGCAGTGGGTGTCTGGAAGCAATCCTCCTCTGATTCCTTTTCGTTTTCTGAATCGGATACACGACTTCGGTTTGTACCTGTACGTTTATCCAACGTCTGCCCCTCATCCTCATCATTTGAAACAAGCTCATCATCCCCATCCGCATCGGACTGTTCCACAGTATAGTTGCTGACGTGACGCAACTCGCTGTCTGGCGGCTGTAGAGGATCGTGAAAAGCGCTGGTAGACATGAAATCAGCGGGATCACTCATAACTGATCTAGTGCCAGATATATCTCGACTGATGCCACGTCGACCAAACATCGATACGTTTCTGGCTTGCCTTCTTGTCTCAAAACGATCCACCACCGATGGATCGTGTTCATGTAGCGAGCTGGCAATGCCGCCACCTTGGTGATCTATCCAATTGTTGACAGCGTTGTGAGTCTCGCGTTCACCCATGGCATTTCGTGCATCCCGTAGAAAATTGCCGCGAGGTGCCAGGCGAAACACTTCATCGAGTGCCCGGTCCTTCTGAAAACCGGCCACGGAGTCCTGTCGCATTCGCAAATTCGGACTGAAGAGCCCAGGTCGAGTCTCTTGAAATGAAATTAGACGTTTCTGGACCCGGCCCATGTTGTCGACGAGATCGGTGGGCTCGAAGACCGAACGGGCAAGGAATATCTTCTCGTAGGCATAGATACCGAATAGGAGTGGGAAATGCGTTACCTTGATGACGGTTCGATTGAGTTTGATGAACGTTCGGAAAGGCAGACAGAACCGAAGGGGCGTCAGAAGCCATGCGAGGATGTTGGTAGGTGCTACGTATGAGAAGAGTGCATCATTTTTGACCATCGATATTGTGTTCACTGCAAACACAAATTGATGCTCCTCATTAGCATTAGAGACAATAGCCATGAAAGAGTTCGTGAGGACTGTGATCAAGATCGTCACAACCAGAAAGTGGCAGATGAACAAGAAAAGGACCAAGATAGCTTTGCCAAGCGTATTATAGGTTTCCCAGGCCTCCCAGGCAGCGGGGGTGAAACCCATCAGGATCTGGAATATTTTGTATGCAACCCCCGCAGCATCGTAGTCGTTCCTCCCAAAGGACATGGTAAAGGCCACGAAGAAGCCACTGCAGGCGATGAGAATCAAGACGAAAACGGCAACCAGGTCAATGGCCATCAGCCGGAAAGCAATCAGCAGCTGAGAAAAATATCGATAGTGGTCCAGGACGCTGAATAACCGCGGGAAAAGGAGTATGGCATTTGCTGCCAGGACGTCGTACGCCATGCTATTCCAATCCTCCCTCCCTACACCCAACAGGAACAGTCCGCATAGCCGCATGGAGTAGTAAATGGCGAGCAGCAGCAATATCCCAAGATCAAATATGTTCCAGAAGCTCATGAGATACAGCGAGAAGCCCTGCTCATTGAATCCAACGACCTCATCCAGCATAAAGCCAGCGCTCCAGAACCAAAACACGATCTCTAATGGGGTAATCTCCACAGAGCGTTCACCGAGTACAGCGACGAAAAGGCCGAGAAGAATGGCCAATGAACACGTGGAGAAGAATTGGCGGTATCGTGGGACCCGCAATCGGGACAGCTTGAACAGGGAGGCATCCCTTGGATCATAGAGCGTAACCGTTCTCCTAGTCAGAAGTGGTGGCTGTTGATGCCGTTTGTCAGGCGAGGATTGAGGTTGTGGAGTATTAGTTCCATATCCTACACCCTGGCTTGACGTCTTGAGATGCTGCCTGCTTTCATTTGTCTGCCGGAATCTCTGCGCTTGGCTCCATTGAACTGCCTGAGGTCTGTGTAGATTGTCAGCTGCTGAGTGGAACACAACCGTGCCAGCCCATATAGCTTCAAGTTGTTTGACAACAAGAGGGTGCGCTAGAAATCGTTTTGCCGATGCTCTTATAGCTACTTCCAGAGTCGAGATTCGAGCGGCAGGGGGCTTTGGCCTGTTCCTTTGTTCCCAATCCAGTCCTGGTGTATCGAGTCCCTGCAAGGGGAAGAAACCATAGGAGAGTGCATCGATGAGCTCCCGAGTACTGTATTCCTTCAACAGCTTGATCGCGAGCAACTCGCACACCATGGCTCTTGTCCGGCTGTTCCCAGCATTCCCCGGGTTTACCTGGCTTTCCTTCTGGAATTGTAGACAGTTTGCCATGAGGGCATACAGGGTTGCGCGCGAGAAGTGGGAACCCCGTATTTGTTGTTGCATTGGCTTGACCAGGAACTGGGAGACCTGAGGGGATCGGAGTTGATCCCAGGTCAAGGTTGTCTCTGTTCGCGGGAGGACGATCAAACGAATGGCATGCGTGAGGTTGTATACAGGCAGCGCATCTATTCCATGGTTAGCTAGGAAAGGAAGAGAGGAATAACTGGACTGTCTGACCAAGATGTGCTGCAGAGAAGATGGGAAGCAGATGTGGATCTTCGTGTCCGTCCTCGTCGCCAGCCTCGTCGTCTACGTCCTCCTGATCCTCTTCATCCTCCTCCCCTTCACCAGCCTCTTGACTATCCTCATCGTCCTCCGTGTTTGAATCGTCGGCGTCGGTCTCGGTAAAGTCTGCGGTAGCATGGCGCGGGTTCAAACGCTGCTGGCGCCCCAGGAGAGGGGATGATTGATCGGCGTATGGCGACGAGAAGGGCGAATGTTCGACGCGTCGACGCCCTCTCTTGGGCCGTAGCAAGGACGAGAGCATCACCGCTGCTGAGACGGAGCCTCCTCAGAGCTCCACGACGACGGCGATACTGAGGTTGTTGAGCGAGAGATCAGACACGGCATGGCAAGACGCGGCGGATCTCCAGGGAACGGGTCAATGTTATCAACAGAGCAGACCGCGAGGCAGATAAGATACGGGGCGCGCGCTCATCGTCGATCGGTCGCGAACTGTGATGTAGAACAGAGCAACAACTTCCCTCCACGGGCTGGACGAGGGGAAGTCTGAATAGTGGCAATGATGTACTTTATATCTAGGGGACTGCAGAGGTACATGTAAGTACATGTATCTGTAGGGGGGGATTCAGGTATCTCTGCAGAAACACCGCATGACCGTCGATCCAGTGATCAATCAACGACGACGACGCCTCAGCGTGGCTGGTGAGACCCCTGTTCGGGAGGCTAGTGATCTGCTGCGTGTTGGCCAATCACAGCTCGCTGCTGGAGAGGCTGCGGCTTTTACGATTACATCAGATAAGACACCTGAATCACAGCGTGTACAGCAATAACCGCCACCCCTCATGCCCACCGTGGGTGATCCCGCACGTTATCTTGGGCCGCGGGAATGATCGACGCGACGAGATCTTTTCCTGCGCAAGATCCAGACTAATTGACTCAACAAACCCAACTGATTTAGCCTCCTTTCCTCCGTCTTCAACGCGCGACGCATTTTTTTGTTGGTCGAGGCTGCGATGCAAGGCTACCGGGAAAAAAAAATTTATGCAGGTGCCAAGCCTAATCGGGGCTACCGCCGGCCCGGATCAACAATGATCCCCTTCGTCCGGCGTTTTTGGCTTTTTCCCTCGACAGGAACCTGGCAGCTAGAAAATCTTCCATTTCTTCCATTTCTTTCAATTCTGCAAATCCTTCCTCAATTTTTCCTCCTCCAAGCCAGCCTGTAGACTTCAGACGCAGAAACCAGACCCCTATCGCTACCTCTCCTACTACAGTGTCAGTATTCGAGCCCCCTGCTCGACATTGATCTTCCCCGAGCCCATGTTCCGTTGCTCACGGTAACCAAGCTACAGGGCGTCACTGGATACGATGTCGTCTGAGCTCTACCCTCCCGTTGCCGCCAGGCTTGGTGCGAAAGATGAGCCCATGATCAGTCTCGAGCTCCAAGATGGCACGGTCTACCAGGGATACAGCTTCGGCGCGAACAAGAGCGCGGCGGGAGAGTTGGTCTTCCAGACTGGCATGGTGGGGTACCCCGAATCAATAACAGACCCCTCATATCGTGGCCAGATCCTGGTCATTACGTTCCCTCTGGTTGGGAACTATGGTGTGCCATCGCGCGAAACGATGGATGAGCTTCTGAAGGATCTGCCTGCACATTTCGAATCTTCTCAAATACACATCGCCGGTCTCGTTACTGCTTCTTACTCCGGGGAAGACTTTTCGCATTACTTGGCTACCTCATCACTGGGAACTTGGTTAAAGGAACAAGGAGTTCCCGCCATCTATGGAGTTGATACCCGAGCATTGACGAAGAGAATCAGAAAGGAAGGGAGCATGCTTGGGCGAATGCTGCTCCAGAAGGAGGCCCCGATCAATGGCACTTCCAATGGATTATCCAACGCCATCACTGCCCCCGAATCATCTAAGAACTGGAGGGCCTATTTCGAGACTATTGACTGGGTCAACCCGAACGCGAAGAATCTGGTTGCAGATGGTGAGTCCTGGCACGTCTTTGGCCCTGTCCCGGGGCTGACATCGAGGAATAGTGTCGATAAAGGAACCCAAACTTTACACCCCGAACCCATCGAATGCACTTAAGCATCCCTCCGGCAGACCTGTACGTGTTTTATGTTTGGATGTGGGATTGAAATATAATCAATTGCGGTGCCTGCTGAAGCGGGGGGTGGAAGTCCTCGTGTGCCCATGGGACTATGATTTCCCAAACCTTGCTGGCAAGGACTATGATGGTCTCTTCATCTCCAACGGTCCCGGTGATCCTGCACTGATGGAGAAGACGGTCAAGCACATCGCTTCTGCGATTCAAGAAAACCGAACACCCATTTTCGGTATCTGTCTGGGTCATCAACTCTTGGCCAGAGCTGCCGGCGCGCGTACCGTGAAAATGAAGTTTGGAAACCGTGGTCACAACATTCCTTGCACGAATATGCTGACTGGGAAATGCCACATCACTTCACAAAATCACGGTTATGCTGTAGACGCCGCCAGCCTACCCGCGGACTGGAGTGAACTGTTCGTTAATGCCAACGATGGCAGCAACGAGGGTATTCGGCACATCAGCAGACCATACTTCAGTGTTCAATTCCACCCCGAGAGCACAGCTGGGCCACGAGATACCGAATTCCTGTTCGATGTTTTCGTAGACACTATCATGGGCACCATTGCGGACAGTCAACTCCTCACAGCCCCGGTCCATTTCCCAGGAGGCGAGGCCGCAGAGAATGCACGTCTGCACCCAAGGGTCCATGTCAAGAAGGTTCTTGTTTTGGGTAGTGGAGGTCTCAGCATTGGCCAAGCCGGAGAATTTGACTACTCTGGTAGTCAGGCGATCAAGGCTCTGAAAGAGGAGGGCATCTACACCATCTTGATCAATCCCAACATTGCCACAATCCAAACGTCGAAGGGCTTGGCTGACAAGGTGTATTTCTTGCCTGTCAATGCAGACTTTGTGCGGAAAGTCATCAAGCACGAGCGACCCGATGCCATATACGTTACCTTTGGAGGACAGACGGCTTTACAAGTTGGTATCCAGCTGAAGGACGAGTTTGAATCCCTCGGTGTCAAAGTTCTGGGAACTCCGATTGATACGATCATTACCACCGAAGACCGAGAACTGTTCGCACGGAGTATGGAGTCCATTGGCGAGAAGTGTGCAAAATCTGCGTCTGCGAGCACAGTCGAGGAGGCCATGCGCGTCGTCAAAGATATTGGGTTCCCAGTGATTGTCAGAGCGGCATATGCTCTGGGTGGACTTGGCAGTGGTTTCGCCGATAATGAACGAGAATTGCTTGCCCTCTGCAACAAGGCCTTCGCCGCGAGTCCACAGGTCCTCATTGAGCGCAGTATGAAGGGATGGAAAGAAATCGAATACGAGGTCGTCCGAGATGCACGGGACAATTGTATCACCGTCTGTAACATGGAGAACTTCGATCCTCTTGGAATCCATACTGGAGATTCAATTGTGGTGGCACCCTCGCAAACATTGTCTGACGAAGACTACAACATGCTCCGGACGACTGCAGTCAATGTTATCCGTCACCTTGGGGTTGTGGGCGAGTGCAACATCCAATACGCACTAAACCCGTTCTCTAAGGAGTACTGCATCATTGAGGTCAACGCCCGATTATCTCGATCCTCTGCCCTCGCATCGAAAGCTACCGGATACCCATTAGCGTTCATCGCAGCTAAGCTTGGTCTGGGCATTCCTTTGAACGAGATCTCCAACACGGTCACTAAGGTTACGTGCGCCTGTTTTGAGCCGTCCCTTGATTATGTCGTTGTGAAGATGCCAAGATGGGATTTGAAGAAGTTCACTCGGGTTTCTACCCAGCTGGGTTCATCAATGAAGAGTGTTGGTGAAGTCATGAGCATAGGACGAACGTTCGAAGAAGCAATCCAAAAGGCCATTCGCTCCATTGACTTCCACAATCTCGGCTTCAACGAGACTAAGGCTCTCATGTCAATTGACGATGAGCTCCAAACGCCCTCGGACCAGCGGCTGTTTGCGATCGCCAACGCCATGCACTCTGGCTATTCCGTCGACAAGATCTGGGAAATGACCAAGATCGACAAATGGTTCCTGAACAAGCTGAAAGGCCTCAGCGACTTCAGCAAGATGATGTCCACCTATAACGCGAGCACGGTCACCCCAAATCTCATTCGTCAAGCCAAACAACTTGGTTTCTGTGATCGACAGCTTGCCAAATACCTTGACTCAAACGAACTTGCCGTCCGACGGCTGAGAGTTGAAGCTGGAATTGTACCGGTTGTGAAACAAATCGATACGGTAGCGGCCGAATTCCCAGCTTTCACGAACTACCTCTACCTGACCTACAATGGATCCGAGAATGACATTACATTTGAAGATCATGGTGTGATGGTTCTCGGTTCTGGCGTTTACCGTATTGGTTCGTCCGTGGAGTTCGATTGGTGTTCTGTGAGAGCTATTCGAACCCTTCGTCAATCTGGCTTCAAGACTGTCATGGTGAACTACAATCCGGAGACTGTCAGTACCGATTACGATGAGGCTGATAGGCTTTACTTTGAGAACATCAACCTTGAGACCGTTCTCGATATCTACGAGATGGAATCCTCAAGCGGCGTTCTCATAGCGATGGGTGGCCAGACCCCGAACAACATTGCTCTTCCGCTACATCGTCTCAACGTCAAGGTTCTGGGCACCTCGCCGGAAATGATTGATACCGCAGAGAATCGTTACAAGTTCTCACGTATGCTTGACAGAATTGGTGTTGATCAGCCAACCTGGAAGGAATTGACAAGCTTTGAGGAGGCGAAGGACTTCTGTAACAAGGTCTCGTACCCGGTATTGGTTCGCCCATCTTACGTCTTGTCCGGTGCTGCCATGAACACGGTCTACTCGGAAGCCGATCTTGAATCCTATCTCCAGCAGGCCGCCGAGGTTTCCCGAGAGCATCCTGTAGTCATCACGAAATATATCGAGAATGCGAAGGAGATCGAAATGGATGCAGTTGCTAAGGACGGTAAAGTAGTCGGCCACTTCATCTCTGAACACGTCGAAAATGCTGGTGTTCATTCTGGTGATGCCACTTTGATATTGCCGCCCCAGGATCTTGAGCCGACGACGATCCAGAGAATTGAGGAAGCCACACGCAAAATCGGGGATGCACTAAACGTTACCGGACCTTTCAATATCCAGTTCATCGCCAAGGACAATGACATCAAGGTTATCGAATGCAATGTCCGAGCGTCTCGATCATTCCCCTTCGTGTCGAAGGTTATGGGTGTCGATCTGATTGAAATGGCGACCAAGGCGATTATGGGGATCCCATTTGTTGAATATCCCCCAACCGCGCTACCACCCAACTGCGTTGGTGTAAAGGTTCCTCAATTCAGTTTCTCTCGGCTTTCTGGAGCCGATCCTGTGCTGGGTGTCGAAATGGCTTCCACGGGTGAAGTTGCATCCTTCGGTGTTGACAAGTACGAGGCATACATCAAGGCCCTCATATCTACGGGATTCAAGCTACCCAACCGTAACATCTTGCTTTCCATCGGTTCATACAAGGACAAGAAGGAGATGCTCCCATCGGTCGTGAAGCTTCAGAAGTTGGGGTTCAAGCTCTTCGCCACTGCAGGTACAGCCGATTTCCTCCAAGAGCACGATGTTCCGGTCCAATACCTCGAAATTCTCGGAAACGACGATGATGACCAAAAATCGGAATTCTCTCTGACACAACATCTTGCCAACAACATGATCGATCTGTACATCAACCTTCCATCGAACAACCGATACAGGCGACCTGCAAATTACATGAGCAAAGGCTACCGGACGAGACGAATGGCTGTGGATTACCAAACTCCGCTGGTTACCAATGTGAAGAATGCCAAGATCCTGGTTGAAGCCATTGCCAGACATTTCGATCTCCAGGTTCGCCCAATAGATGCCCAAACCAGTCACCGGACGGTTGTACTTCCTGGCTTGATCAATATCGCCGCATTTGTGCCAGGAATCGCGACCCCTGGCAGCAACGACTTCCAGGTTGTCACGAAAGCTTCCATCTCAGCAGGCTTCAGCATGATCCGTATTATGCCTCTCGGACTCGAGGGGTCGCTCACAGATGCCATAGCTCTCAAGACTGCCCAGCTAAACAGCAAACGAGGAGCCAGCTGCGATTACAACTTCTCCGTCGCTGCAACATCTGCCAATGCTGATCAAATTAGCCAAGTGACTGGTGAGGTCGGGTCTCTCTTCATCCCCTTCAACCATCTCTCGGACAATATTAGCAAGGTGGCTGCTGTAACCGCACATTTTGAATCATGGCCCAGCTTCAAGCCCATCATCACCGATGCCAAGATGATTGACCTCGCATCTATTTTGCTTCTCGCTAGTCTTCACAACAGGAAGATCCATGTCACCAGCGTTACGACCAAAGAAGACATTAAACTGATCTCATTGGCCAAAGAAAGAGGACTGAAGGTTACGTGCGATACGGCCGTGTACTCCCTATTTTTGACGCAGGATGACTTCCCACAAGCTAAGTTCCTGCCGACGGTGGAAGACCAGAAGGCTCTCTGGGAGCACATGAGCACCATTGATGTTTTCTCAGTTGGAAGTCTGCCGTATCAGCTTGCTCACGTTGCGAAGCAGGAGCTGAACAGCGCTATTGGAATCGCTGATACATTGCCGCTACTCTTGTCAGCCGTGGCCGATGGGAGGTTGACTGTTGACGATATCAAAGCACGCCTTCATGACAATCCAAAAGAGATCTTCGAACTTCATGACCAGGTCGGAGCATCTGTGGAGATTGAGGTCGACAGGCCTTATACAGTTAGTCCGAGCCCCATCTGGTCGCCGTTTGTTGGGAAGACTATGTATGGTGCTGTTAAACGTGTCATTTTCCAAGACAAGACGGCCTGTCTGGATGGCGAAGCTTGCGAAAACGTTGAAGGAAAGGATATGTCTTCACATCTCATTGACTTGCACCTGTCTACGCCAATGTCTCCAGTGGTTAAAGCTGCTGTTTCTCCGGTAGTTACTCCTCGACCGGACAGCTCTTCTGGCAGAAGGCAGTCTATGCTGGCAGCGCCAGCAATGCGTGCCGCTACTCGTTCACGATTCCTCGACGGTGCTTCTGCAGGCATTCAATCACCCCCTAATCGGTCTGCTATCTCCGAGGACCTCGGCCCAGCTTTATATCCTCAGCCGACCGTCTCGCCTTCACTTCAATCACTGCTCGGCCAGTCGCCATTCAAGAACCAGCACATCCTATCAGTGAACCAATTCACTCGTCAAGATTTGCATCTGCTCTTCACTGTCGCCCAAGAAATGCGGCTTGGTGTCCAGAGAGAAGGTGTGCTTTCAATTCTGAAAGGTCGTCTTCTTTGCACAATGTTTTTCGAACCTTCGACCCGTACATCTGCTTCCTTCGATGCCGCAATGCAACGACTCGGTGGCCGGACCGTCGCAATCACCACTTCGCATTCGTCAACTGTCAAGGGTGAAACTCTCGCCGATTCTATTCGCACGCTTGGCTGCTATGGAGACGCAATAGTCCTACGACACCCCGAGGACAGCAGTGCAGATGTAGCTGCGAAGTATAGCCCGGTTCCAATCATCAACGGTGGCAACGGCAGCAAGGAACACCCCACTCAAGCCTTCCTGGACCTCTTCACCATTCGTGAAGAGCTGGGTACCGTAACTGGCCTTACCATCACTTTCACTGGTGATTTGCGCTATGGCAGGACCGTTCATTCGTTGGTGAAACTTCTTCAACACTACGATGTACAGATCCAGCTAGTTTCGCCTCCATTCCTCTCCCTGCCAACCGAGATCCTTGAACTCATCAAATCCAAACCTGGACAGCTTCTATCCGTGTCGACCGAATTGACTCCAGAGATTGTTGCTAGGTCAGATGTTCTCTACTGCACCCGGGTACAGAAAGAAAGATTTGAGGATCTAGAGCAGTATGAGAGGCTGAAAGACACCTTCATTATCGACAACAAAACCTTGAGGAATGCGAAGGCCCACATGGTAGTCATGCATCCCTTGCCTAGAAATCGGGAGATTGGGGAAGAGGTGGACTTTGATCAGCGGGCTGCATACTTTAGACAGGTATTTCACACATTACTCTTGCTTCCCAGACGTGTGCTAACCCTATACACAGATGAGATATGGTCTTTATTGTCGCATGGCATTGTTGGCTTTGGTGATGGCACCGTAAGAGATAACCAAATGATAAAAGCATACATATATGGGCGTTTTTGGTAGGAAAAGTTCGAGGCAAGCTTCCGCTTTTTACACTTCATCGGAGTAAATATATAGACAAAAAGAGAAACGAATAAAATCTAGCTCGCTTTTAGGAGTCTAGCAAGTGGCATTTGGCCCTCCATCTACAAATATTTCCGTCTCGTTTCTACTTTTCCTCTAGTGTGACTTCTAACGCCCCGACGATCCGCGTAATCTCTCTTCACTTCACCTCTGCACTTAATTTGATGTTGGATCGCAAGACGACTATCTTCACACGAATGGAATTCGGGTAATATTCTTCAATCACTAGACAATCATTTGCATGCAGTATTAGCAGCTAAGTATGCCCTGAATCAAAGTCACCATCCTTGAGTCGTCACGTTACCGAAACCATGCGACTGATCATATTTCAAAGCTACGCAACCTCTCTAAGCTACCATACAAATTTCTGACCCACTAATTTCTCGCTCAAGGCCCAGAGCTTCTCAGCTGTGTCCGGATCCATGGCGGCAGGTTTAGGTTGTTCCTTTGCGATATCTGCATCGGCGAGGTATAGGCCAGAAGAAGCTGCAAAAAATTGTTTTGTTAGGGATTCCGATGTGCAATTAATTGCGAATTCAGCTATGACATACCTGTAATTGAGGGATCCAGGGCTGCTACCAAGGTGGTAGAACAACCTTGTTGAAGTGTTTTGATTTCTTCGAGCTGGAATTTGCCTAGGAATCGACCGTATCAGAATTGACTGTATCACCGCGATTGTGCTGGGAAAAAAAATATTCTAAAACAAAGGGGATGGATGCGGTCTGTTGCCGTGGAGAACCAGATAGATTATGATGGATTGATTGAATTACTCACCTCCAATCTTAGCTTCTACGTACTCGACGATCTCCTTGAAGACAACTGGATCTTGGAAGTGTTTCTGCAGCCCCGTAGTTATACCTGAGAAGATGATAATATGTGGTTAAGACCGAATCATATCATATGCAAGTAGTGTCTAAGTGAGTGGACTTACTGCCAGGATGAACAGAGAAGGACGCAATCTGCTTGCTATCGAACTTCTTCGAAAGGCTCACCGTGAAGAGAATGATTGCTATTTTGGACTGCGCATAACCGGCAATCGGGTTATAAGTCTTTCCATCCTGTTTATATATAGGGAACTTGTTAGAATTTAAAATTTTTTGAAAAAAATAATATTCCCGACGTGTTTATCAGACTCACGTCAAAATTGATATCGTCGAAGTTAACCTCTCCCGCTGCGCTGCCAGTGCTTGTAAGATTGACAATCCGGGCCCCTCCCCCCGCCGACTGCATCTTTCCAATCAACAGGTTCGTCAAGAGAAAATGTCCGATATAATTAGTGCCGAATTGAGACTCGATTCCATCCTCCGTCTTAGCATACGGACACGCCATGATCGCCGCATTATTGATCAAGATATCGATCTGCGAGGTTGTTGCATTGTTGATAGCTGCTGCTGCACGTCTCACCGATGCTTGTGATCCTAGATCGATTTGAATAAATGTAACTGTGATGCCTGGATTTATCTTGTTTATCTCCTCGATGACGGGTTTGACCTTGTCTTCTGAACGCCCGGCGAGCAGAATGTGCTTTGGATTTCCGTGGGCTAGTGATAGGGCTGTTTCAGCGCCAATTCCGCCTTGGCTGGCACCTGTGATGACGACTATGAAATGTTAGCCACGTTCATTCTTATATACAAAAACTCTGGGTTGCTAATTGGCAGTTACTGCAATTACTGCAATAGGTTCAATTACTTACTTGTCTTGTGGTTGACGCTCCTTGGAAACGCATTTACCACATCAATGCCAGTGGAAGACCATTTGAATTGTGTCATGTTTTCGAGATCAAGATATCAGAAAATCAAGAGAATGCTGCGCTCTGTAATATTGAACAGAAGAGAAATATTTCTGAGAGGCATCGTGCATTTATAGATATTTGTTGAAAGATGCCCGTTCATAATGCCATGGATGTGCTCACTTGAGGCTCTCTACGATTGGTCAATTTAAAGTTTAGCGCGTAATCCAGTTGCATTAGTCTCCATTTTAGCGTCCCTTGGATTTTTCCGGGGCTCCCGAGTCCCGTGACTTCTACGAACAAACTTTTCCAATCATCCATTCCCTCAGGTTCGATTCTCTCGTAATGGATGAGACAAAACAGCCAATATATCTGGCGCCTATGAGCCATCTCTCCGAGGCAAAATGTGCCGAAGACGACTGGGCGGGTATCTCGGACTGGTCAACCCGTAAACGACGACAGAACCGCCTGAATCAAAGAGCTTACAGTTAGTGACTCCTTGTGTATGCGTTGAAATGCAGAGATTGATTGTGCTCTGCAGGGCGACGGAAAGCTCTTAAAGCCGAGTGCCAAGGATCTGGCCACGATAGGAAAGAGGATAGATGCTCGGATTCAGAGCAGGGCCGTTTTATCCAGACTCACGATGAATCCTCTGGAACTGGTCTCATATACAACGACCACGAACAACAATCACACGCCCTTACAGTAAAAGTTGCATCGAAGACAATAACGTTTGATCCTTCTGAATACTGTCCCCTCCCATCTGATCATCTTCTCTCGTTGATCAGATACAACCTTTACCGAGCAGTCGCTGCGAACTCCTGGTCTCTGGGTATCGATCCCAGGCTTATGCATTCCGATATACCATCACCATTTATATCTGATGATCCAGCAATCTCTAGCTTTTGTCTATCATTACCTCCCAGTCTTCGTCCCACTGCACTTCAAAGAAATATCCCACATCATCCTTACATTGACCTCTTCCCTTTCCCACCGATGCGGGACTTTCTTCTGCAATTTGGAGATTCTGTTGATGAGGATGTACTATGTGCAGACTTTGCGGGCGAGAATCTGCATTCTGACTTTGGGGAGCATACTGGACTTATCGTTTGGGGCGAACCCTGGGATCCACATAGCTGGGAGATCGCAGAACCTCTTTGGAAGAAATGGTCTTGGGTGCTCAGAGGATGCTCGGAAATTTTAGAGGCCACTAATTATTGGCGGCAGCGGCGAGGGGAGCCACGTTTGGTGGATATCACATAGACAGGGTTGAAGTAGGACAGCTGAATGTAGGCCAGATCCGATGCTTGCCGTATGAAAGCAGTACCCCGATGTCTTATTACTCAATTGTACATACAAAACTAACCGATTCAACATGCCTCTCCTGAATATTTGTGCAATCACTGGTAATAAGCTGGTGATATAAGTCGAACTCGCGTTTTTGTCTGCAGAAACAGAAGTACAATATAATTGGGCACTTGATCAACTACCTACCCAAAGTTATGATCGATAACTCGATCCCGGAGCCAACCACTGTTGGCATCCACACTCCGGCCACCATACAGATGGTCATGTCAGGCTCGTGGCTGGTATTGCTGGACTCGCGATCGTTGCTGGGATTCTGGCTATCGGATAGTAGAGGTGCACTGTCGGCGGGGGGCTCGACAGATGATGGAGGGTCCGCGCGCTGACTCGGAGCCATCGCGATGAAGATGAAGGAGGAATCGAGTGGCAGGGATGTTTGTGTAGCTTGTCGATGGCGAGTTGGAATATTTGGGTAGCTTGTTAATGGCGAGTTGGAATATTTGCGTAGCTTGTTAATGGCGAGTTGGGATACTCGAGAGTCGGCGATGGTGCAGGAAGGAAATGAATGAATGTGCTTGTGCGATAAGGGAAGATGCTTTAATCGCCGGCCTCGCTTAATCGCCGGCCTCGCTTACCTAGTGTGCCGTCCTTTCGCGTTCGCCAAGCCGTGTCCAATCCTCATTCCGTCTGATTGGACCTCTTTCCTCGTTACCGGTCGACCTGCCCGTCCAGCGAATCACGATGGACCAACCCGGGACGATCTTCTGCCTTGTCCCCACCAATAAATATGCCACTGAGAGCTTAGACGGCTTGGAAAAGGCGGCCAAGGAGAAGTTCACAAGGTTGTCGATATGTATAATGGCAACCACTATGCCTGCAAAATCCTCGCTGTAAAGGAGGTGCCGGAATGGGGGATACATTCAGAGAAGGATTTCAAGGCAAGGGTTGAAATGGAAGTGAGCTTGGTCAAGCAAGTACAGCATCACGTAATCTCCCTATTCTGGCTGTCTGCTTGCCTCACGCTGATTGCATCAGGACAATATCGTGCCATACATATACACACAAGGATTCAAGATTGGCGAGAATATCGAAATCTTTATGCCCGTTTATGACGGCAACCTCTATCAATTTATGGAGCGATACGAAGACAAGACGCCAACCATGGTACGGGCTAGAACCGACAGGATGATCCACCAGATCTTGAACGCGCTGGATTTCGTCCACACGCACAATCCGCAAATTATCCATCGAGACATAAAGCCCGCTAACATCCTCTACCAAGGTGACAAGTTCCTCCTGACGGACTTTGGCATCGCAAAAGTTGTCGACACATCAAGGACTATGGCTGGATCGAAGTGGTACGTGGCACCTGAGGTTCTGCAGAACCGTGAGCAGACGCCAAAGGTCGACATATACGGGCTCGGGGTAACCTTCGTGGAGTGTTTGAAGGGATTCCCACCCGATGCAGAGAGGGAAGTTATATGGCAGAATTGGGAGCAGTGGCACCGGCACCTCCAGACACTTCTGAACCAGCATGAACCTTGCATAGCAGCAATGCTTGCCGACGTCGCTGATCAGCGTCCGACGGCTGAGCAACTCCTCCGGGATTTTCCTTATACCACATCGCAAAATGCGCAAACCAATCCTACCCCTCTTACGAACCAGGCAAATAGAACGACAGTGATATACTCCGCAGCACCTACTCCTATGGATTGGACACGAACAGGCTAGCGATACATCGGCCCTGTGGAAAACAGCATGAGTTCTAGGACTTGTATTCTTTAGACAACCTTAGCGTCGTAACATAGATAGTTTCTCCTGTGTTGACACTGTGTTAACACGGTTTTAATTAAAAGAACCGTTTAATTTAAATTACCGCTAGGAGACAGTGTCGAAATTTTACATGGTGTTAGTACTACTAGAACAGTGTACATACTGCAAACAGTGTTAATATAGTATTAGAACTACAAATAGTGTTAGAACCGTAAACAGTGTTAGAACTGTTACGGTGGCAGCGTGGTTCGCCGTGACGGGCGTGTTGTGTAAGGGTTTAATTGCTTGATTCCTTCTAAGTGATCTCTGTGATACTATTTATTTACAGTAAACTGTGTCCTGCGCCTTCCTTCGTTGCTCTAGTCGTGCTATCTACTGACTGCCGTAACAAGAACCGTAAACAGTGTTAGTACTACAAACAGTACTAGTATTATAGAACAGTGTTAGTACTACAAACAGTATTAGCATTACAGAACAGTGTTAGTACTGTAAATAGTGTTAGTACTATAAACGGTATTAATATTTATTATAAAACAGTATTAGTATTACAGAACAGTGTAACGAACAGACGACCCTAAATAACCGCGACCCGCCCAAAAAGTGCTGTTTCCCATCATCCAAGATCCGAAAGTTCGAAGAAGTGCTAAGACACTGGTCCCGATCACTAATCCTCTAAGAATTCATCAATGGGACCAAGAATTGGTCGACTTGTATAGTTTTCAGAGAAAACGCATCATAGACGCTTTCTTTGCCATCCAACCAATCCAGCCCTCTCACTAAGCTTACTAACAGCAAATTTCCATCACTTATGAAGCTATTGAATCGTTACCGTTGGACCACCTCTTCCAGTCTCTTCAGCTAACTCAGAAGCCAGTGACTCAAGCTCCCGATGGGCCTTCGTCTTGTCGAGATCTTCTGCGTGCTCAAAATCGATCATCCGCACATTGTTGTTGGATCGATCGACAATGAAATTGTATCGATTGACATCTCCATGAATCAAGCCCATTCCATGGAGCCTGTGAAGCACCTTCTTACAATTCGGCATATCGTCGATAGAAGCGAACTCTCCCTCTACTTTCTCTAACAAAAACCCGATAACTCTGTCATTCTCTGTCAAATGACCCAGAAATTTCGGGGCACACGGGGGTTCAGCTGGATGCTGATCTTGATGCTTCATGAGAGTTGAATACACCCTAGTTTCATTCCCAATCCTATGAAAATCCCATTCGAACAAAGCAATTTTGGAAATCGCTGGTCGACCTCCATATAAGACTTCGTGAACATTTGATCGATGGCGCTTGATATGCTTCAGCGAAAGGACATCGATGCGGCGATGGTGCCAAGGCTTGGGGATTGCAGGCAGCGGCTCATAAGAGAGTGTCGACTCGATAAGGCCGTCTGCTCCCCGGGAGATGCACATTGTGGTCCAGTCTGCGTCAGGAAAGGCAGGGAGCTGAGGGATCAAAAGATACGGGCGGCACATTGTGTCTTCGTCGAATGTAGAGGTGGGAATGGTTACATAATGGACTCTGTGTCCTGCTCGGATGCGGTATGTACCTTGCTCGTCATCGATGAGTTGATTGAGTATCTCGATTTGTGATTTTGGTACTGGAGTCTCCATTGCTTATTCGAGTAAAGCTGCGTGGATGATAGAGCATCCGTTGAGGCAGGCAGGTTATTATAAAGCCGAATTACGACCCATCAAAGCACTTCTGTAAAGTTTGGAGTTCTTGTCGCTCTCGGCATTCAGCCAAGACCTCTAGCGCCGGTTGGCAGGGACATATATAATTCCGCTCCGAATCACCACGCTGAGGTCTTGGCTGTCTGAGAGCGACAAGAACTCCAAACTTCACGGAAGTTCATGGGTCTTCGTTATAATAAGCGCCGGGAGTAGCCGCCCTCCTAGAAATGGCAGTCTGGCGCTATCTAAATAAAGTCAAGTGAGACACTTTAGTCCAGGGTGTTTCAGCTAATCAGGGAGCTAGAATCTCCTCAAAACCAAATCGGAGGAATTCTATTGGATCTGCACGCTAACCTCTACTTGGGGGGGAGGGGGGTGGGTAGACTGATAGTACAAAGAAAGCGCGCATCAAGAAAGCGCGCGGATAATGTCTACATCTATTATACCTAGGCTATAGTAGTAATTTGTATAGTAGGGCAAGTATATACCGTGTAAACAAACAATCAATTCATAACCCTACAAAAATGAAGCTATCCCTAGTTCCTAGGTAACTTCCCTGAGGTATTCATCATCTAGCTTAAATTCCGCATCCTAGGTATATACCTTAACGCCCCCAATAGCTACGCAGGGGCAGGCCAGAGGTACTTAGTAGAAGACATTATAGAATAAGGTGGTAGAACAGGCGTTGTGTGTAGTAGAATTGTAAGTAGTAGAGTGGTACTTGGGAGTAGCTTCAACTTTTGAATGTTTTGATTACATTAACGTAGTATACGCTACTATACAAAGTAGGTACTATAGCAATGCGATGTTGATACGTGTACGTCGTAAAATACCGCATTATCCCGATCTAGCGTAGTGGTGGGCATTTAGGTACTAAGGTACCTGGCGGGCATTTAGCTGGAGCCAGGAAGAAACAGTGGTCGACAGTCTGACGGACTGCCGGAATGAGTGGCGGCGGAATAATGTCGACAGGTAAGGGTGGCCTTGGCCCGAGCATGAACGTCAAAGGCAAGCTATTGCTTAACGAACTAGATCTGTATAGAAACTATCTGAACTGACTAAACTAAAGAGATCCGTGATTCTGAACTCTGCTAGGATATGGCTATGTATATCTAGTTAGGTTACTTAATAGGATAATCTGAGACGTTAACCCAGTCAGGTTCTACCAGATCAAAAGGAATCCGAGGCAGTTCCGGCAGGCACCCTTGATAAGAAATGGACGTGGAAACAACAAGCCATTCTTAGGAGACCAGAAAAGAATCCCTGCGCAAGCTCCGGCCGACCCAGCAGCATGCTCAGAGGCTCAGGACACAGCTCAGATCATAGCAGCAACTGCTCAGGCCCAGAGATAGAAGTGGAAATTGGTTGTGTCGACCTTCCGATGTGGAACTAGCTGTTACTGCAATCAATGTCTTATGTGACAGGTACTTGGGTTAGCGCAAAGGAGAACCTGATTAAATGCTGGATCAACTGAGATTTTCACTTTGGGACTACTGTTATTAGCACAATTGAAGGCCATGCAATCTCCTTAAAGTCTTATTTACAATGTAGACATGTAGATCTAAGAGAAGTCTTTCTTAAGCTTCTTCCATTCTTTGTCATGAAGCTATCCCTCCAACTGACCTCTCTGGGTCTACCTTCGCACATAGCATCAGGAAAAGTAAGTTCTGAGGATATTTGACGCGTGCCTATGCCGTTCCTGTAGGAGTTGCCATGATGACAGGACGAGTATCCGCTGGCATCGTGGTGAGGAACTGGTTCTCTGGTCTTAGATACACTGTCTCAACAGAGACAGTTGGCTCTGCGTAACTATGTGTATCTGTGCCTATGCCTAATGGGTCGTGAGCCGTTAGTGGAGTTAACTTTGAAGAACAAAGGGAGATTGTTATTATACTCACTTAAAGATTTCTTCTGTGAGACAGGCTCTTTTGCTGGCTCTTGGGCAGCCGTTGCAGTCGGGATAACTAGTTTCTTGGTTGTGATTGTATGGGTCATGGTGTGACTAACGGGATTTGGCATTGCCTTAATAGCGGTTACCATGATGAGCAGTGTATAGAAGAGGTTAAAGGTCCTTGCTTTAAGGATGAAGAAAATAGTTGAAGGTCCTGGTAAAGTTTGTAATTGGATGAGAACGATTTGGGCTAGATAACAAAAGTAGTGGCGAGCGCTGTATGGGGGTGATGGAGGTAGCTAGAGAGGCGAGAACATGTCTCCTTATATTTTTGAAGCTGCCCTGTTGACAACGGGGTGGGAAATAGGAAGAAAGTGCCTTCAATCCTGTCTTCCATCATGTTGTATCTTCTAGAAAACATGCCGTGCAACAACGGATCCTTTAGTTATCCTAGATACTCAGCCCCTGATACCTAGCCGGCTTCACTAGCAGCTGATCCTTAATCCTGCCTAAGCCACGGACATGCAAGAAACATTTGAATACCAACTTGCTTGAGATTGACAACTTTCATTCTTTGTAGCCTATTGATTATGCCGCCCAGAAATTCCTAAAATAGACAATAATCAAGCTGCAAGCAGAATGGATTTTGTCCTTGGGATTTACAGCATTTCAATTGAGACTGAGCAACTCTATGGCCTTGTGTTCTCTATTGCGTGGCTCTAGTGTTAGGTACAAACTTTAAAAGGCATAAATAATTCACGCCCATTGACGAAGCGAATCAGGAGAACTTAGGCATTCAGAAACAAAGTCAGAACAAACCACTTGCTTGATCCCTACTTTAAGAACTATAATCACTGTAGTCTCGTTCAATGCTCAGGATAACATCATGGGGCAACCGACGTCCCAGATAATATACTACATCACCGTGAACCCTCCTGATTTCTCTACCTGGTATTGTCCAACCCAGCAGCTCACGAAACAGATCACCATTTTCCAGTACTTTGCCCACCTGAAGAAGTCTCTCCTCAACTTCTTTGGCAGCAGCATGCTCAATCAGAACTTGCTGCTTAGATCGCTTTGACCATTCTGTTATGATAAGCTTTAGACATTCCGCATTTCCTTCTCTAGTCGCCCAAGCCCTCCTAAAGAAACTAGGACCCTCTCTAAAGACAAGCCAATTTAACCAGGAGTTGTTGATTCCGAATTCATTTCCAGTCCTCCAGTCAGAATTCCTGCCCCGTGGATCATCAAAAACTCTATCGTGAAAAGCCCCTGAAACATAGACGTGCATCATATGATAGGCGAAGGCTTCAAAGAACGAGAGAGAGTTGACATACTCGAGCTGTTGTTTCTGGACAGAGGCCTCAAGTTTCCGTACAAGAGGTGATCCTCGTGTCCAGGAGCTAATAGGATGGTTGAAGTTCGTCTTGTTCTTCCCAATCATTTCGCACACCACCCTTCGAGCGATGTCTGATAAGCGCCACAATACCATCCATCCAGTATTCACATATTCTCTGAGTGGATCTCCCCTAGGGTCGCCGGCCTCGACGTTTCCGAAACCTGTTGGAATCGGATCTTCCTGGAAATTCTCAAGGGCCACTCCAGTGAGCCATTTTGCTGTTCGTACTCGATAATCGAGTGCCAAGAGTGACTGGTAGGCCGGGACATTAGCATCCAGCAATCGAAAGGATTCTATTTCCTTTTCGTCGAACAGGCGCTTCGTGATAACCCCACAGATAGAGATCTGATAAGTATCGATAAGATCTCGGATTGATCTGTTGGCCAAGCGGAGATGCTTTATGGTCGGCAAATCGCAAAAATAGATGATGTTTAGAATAAGTTCTTGTGATACTCGTTGGACATCCATATCTCTTATGCGAAGGAACGAGATAGAGCTGATCTGTCGTTGCGTTGTCTGCGGAAGACCCGAGAAGAGACTGCGTTGATAAGAACTGCGGAGAAAATTGGTCTGTCCTGGAGGCTGTTGCACGTGAGGCTGAGCGTGAGGCTGACCGTAAACCAGTTGAATGTAGGATGAAAGGACGTAATAATAGTCTCTAGGATGCGTTGGTATTTGTGTTGGTATATGTGTTGGTGTTGGTGTTGGCGTTGGTGTTGGTGTTGGTGTTGCGTGGGGGTAACTCCAGCTAAAAATAGCAAGAAGTTTCAGGCCGCAGAACGTTCAACCATTGATATAACATCCTCTGACGTTCTATTCACCTAGATTTTCAAGCCTTATAGCTTGACATGGGGTATATCACGAGTACTGGAACGGATAAGGTTCTGGTGGCAGAGAGGAGCTACTAAAAATTCACCTCCAGCCCCTTCTTCCACGTTGTTTTAGGAATATGCAATTGCCTAGCTCCTCTAGAAGTTTGTTATCAAGTACAGTAACTGCTAATTTGTGGCTGAGTCGAGTATATAGGGAAATATATGTGGCTGAGGCAGGGGTGAGGACCTCGCGTACACGATAAAGTACTTGTGACCTCGGTCTTTGTATGAAAACCACTCCAATTACATTACAAGAGCCACATGCGTAAAGTTGAGCAGCAACTGCTACCACAAACTTCAACTCTTTTCTAGCCTTTCCAGACGGCAAGCCTCCATGGAGCTTCTTGACCTTCCTATCGAAGTACTGAAACTGATTGTTTCCGAAATGATGAATGTTATAACTTTTCGTAGAGCTAATAGGCTGCGTCAGTTGAATAGTCCGTGTCCCTTCCAACGGTCTCTGAATACCCGCTGACGAACTACAGAACTCATCAACAGAACTGTGATCGATTATATGTTCGATCGACACAACGTGCACCGCTTAACTGGATGTCGCGCCCGCAGAAAGAGCGTCAAGCTCATATGTGCAGAGTACATACGATCAAAGATCGAGAACGATGACATCCGACTGAGTCCATTGTCCACTGCTATACGTCGCGCCATCTCTCTTCTAGAGAACCTCTGTGTGTCAGACGATAAGCTTCTTTCAGATGCACAGAGGCGAGCATATATACGTATATTCTCTGAATCTGCCACTGATCACATGGGAATACGAGCAATATCCCAAAACCTACTTCCTAGCCCGACAGTGTCTGAAAACTTGGAAGAGGATCTCAGCGCTGCACTGACTATCGCTTCTGCACTTGGAGACATCAATACGATCACGGCGCTTCTCAAAAAAGGCGCTGATCTCACCAGCCAAAATCCATTCTTCTTGCATCCCATGGATACAGCGGTTAAGCACGGCCAACTCTTAGCCCTCCAGGAACTCCTCAGGTATGGCAAACCTCAGGACCGTACACTTCGGTTAGCATGTCGTGCAGGTCACATCGACATAGTTCAAGTCTTGTACAATCAGCTAAAGCCAAGCTTGCTTCGGTCGTCGCTGTCATCCTACGGCAATATAGAGTCGCTGGTTGGAGAGGCCGTAGCAAGTGGTTCTCTTCCCTTGGTTGACTACTTCCTTCAGCCAGGTCAGCCCTTCCGTTCCCGGCTAAGGGAGGCAGCTTTTTGCACGGCCTGCTCTTTCGGCAACCTGGAACTCATAACGCGGCTACTAGATTGTGGTGTCGACGTCAACGTTCTGGACTTTGCCGGGTTCACGGGAATTGAACTGGCCGCCGAGAACGGCGAACTAGACACCGTCAAGCTATTGTTGGAAAGAGACTTTAATACAAAGCATATATTTTTTCACCATGCTTTACTGTGGGCTGCGAGAGAAGGACATATAGAAGTGGCAAAGGTGCTGCTTGATCACGGTGCCAATATCGATTACAGAAGACTTAGACCTGTGAGTAATTTAGATTGCTTTGGAGGCCCTTGCCGGACGGCGGTATTTGGGGCAGCGGTTAGAGGGGAAGTGGAAATGTTTTGGTTTTTGATAGAGAGGGGGGCAAATTTGAAGGTGTTGGGTTGCCATGATAGAGAGAATGCTTTAAGAGTCGCGGATGAGAAGAGAGACGAAGGGTTAAAACAGCTCTTGCTTAATGCAGGAGTGTGCAGAGAAGAGTGAGGGTATGTGACTTATTCAGAAAATGATGTTGCTCTGCTTCGGTCTTTAACAGTAGCGAATTCTGGAGATAGAGGGACGACTACAAACATTGAACGGATAGTGATCTGACCGTATTATATGATGTATTAGTGCTAAGCGGATTAATTTTGATCGTCGTACCCAAGTGTAGGATTCAAGAGCTGCCATTTAACCAATATCTTTTGTGTACACATATGCAGGCTCTAGTGTTGACAGAATCGACGTGCCTTAAAACACACACAGACTCAATTTAACTTTCCCAAGTTCAATAGCTACCCTTACTTATCTTTTTATACGTTTGTGGCTCTCTTGTTATTTGTTTGTTGGTGTTGAAACTCTACTATACTATAGGCATGCGGACGATCCACATGTAGATTCAGCTTAGCCACCTTACAACCAACTGTTAATTCCCTCAGCCACCTAAGTTCTGACAACCAACTGCTGGAGATCATTACATTGCCTAGTACGACTGGTCACCAACAATTACCATACCCTTTTCTTCATTCCCTCCTTCATTCACGTCCACTTGTTCAGCGTGCTGCGTCTGAGGATTTCCTTGAATCCTTAGCCACCTTTTCTTGTTAGTACCTAATAATAGAGTAAAGGAACAGGAACAGAAACAGCAAGGCGCATGATGAAGAGAGGATGTATTCTCTTACATTGCACCAACTATAAAGATCGTAGCATGTGTCTGACGAACTTCTCAAGAAGCCAGGAAGAACCGTTTTCTTTTATTCTCCCTTCAGACCAACTTCGTTAGACAAACTTCTTATCCTACCCTCATAACAACTTTTTGGACAACTTTTGAAGACCCCCTATACCCATTTTTCAGAATGCGTATTCTTTTGAGATATTCCCTGCTCGCGGCTGCAGTGCTTGGCTTTGTGGGCGACGTGACTGGAAGAGCAGTTCCTGACGATGTTAAATGTAAGGAAACCTCCTTGAAGGTATTTGGAAGTCAGCACTAAAAAGTCCTCAGCCTTTAAAATCCTACCACGAGATGACACTCGTTTGACAGCGGCGGCTGCTCAAAAGAAGGGGCAAGCTCTCTCGCAGCGCATAAGGCCCTCGGAACCAATAAAGAAGCATGGGAAGCCGCAGAAGCCAAAATCAAGTTTCCTAACTAGAGTCAACTCTATGGGCCTACTAGGGCTGATAACATGAAAAAGGCCCCAATTCACGAAGAGATACAAGATCTTCTTCAAGGCCTCAATACGTACGGAATCAACCCTGCAACAGTTCAGGCTACGACATTCCAGGCCATTTCACCTGATGGTGAAAGGCCGGTTTTTCAGGCGTCGTATGTTCCAGGAGCAGCTGTTCTGGTGTTTTTCCGCGTTTAGAATGTACGACACAAACCTAGAAGACAAACAGATCCCTACCTCGGAGTTGATGGCCCAAGCTGCAATGGAGACGAAAACACAGCCAAACGTTGTTGCCAGGATTTTTGTTTCCAACCCAGATACATTGGGATTTGTTAAAGCAATATTGGGGGCAGCTCCCAAGGAAGACTGTAAAAAAGACAACCGTTAGATTAAACGGCCCAGGAAAGGACGCTGAGTACTTTGAAATGCTCTTGGGTTCTGACAATGGTAGAGGTGTGCAGCGAATGCTTAACGACCACCCATCCTATTTTGAAGGAAAGACAGTGACGGAAATAGCAATTGATGAAGAGATGGGGTACCCAACTCTTTATTATAAGCTTGGCCATGCCACAGCCTAAACTGTCAATAGAGACGAGTGTGCTTGGATCATCATCTAACAATGCGTGCTTAGGCTACGTCATTCTGTTTGCCTACCAGAATTCTGATGATGGAGCGTCTTCTAAATGAACTCTGAGGTTGTGGTTCGGGATTTCGATGTTGTGTTTTCCTACTAGAATTCTGACGTTCTGATGGGGGAGCTTAGAGGGGCTTTCCCATAGATAGGTTTCCGGGACGAGAAAGAAGGGGGCGACCCGTGAGTCAGCAATTTCAATGAATCAATCATCTCCTAAGTGATTAACTTAAGCCAGAATAGTGGCATTGCCGGTAACGCTCTCAAATCATCGAGATGTGAGGTGTGCTATAGTCTTGGTGGCCGTATGAGAGGGATGTCTCAAAAAACTCGGCTTGAGGGGAGCTACTCTCGCCGAGAGATAGCTACCCACAGGAGAGATATTTGAGATATTCTTGCTTCTACACGCACCCACGCCGTACGTTTAGCCTATACGTAGTTGGCGGGGTGCCGAGGTACGTTATAGACCAGGCAACCAGATGTTTCTTGGTGGATATAAATATTGTAGAGGGTCTGTGATGTGCTATTAATAAGTGTTAGTGATAGAAGAGGAGGCACTTGATCCGGACGCGAGCGAGGAGGGAGAGTCTGTACGGTAACAATAAGATCAAGAACCACGTGAGTATCTATTAGAATGAATGATACTAGAGCTAGGCTACAAATAAGTCAATCAAGTGGAATTTCAGACGACTCGTTTTCGAAGGCCCGGAAGACAGGTCCACGAAGCCCGGCAACAAGACGAATGTCGAGAGATTTAGGGCATATGACCAAGTTGCCATCACATTCAGACCCAGTCAATCTTGAAAGGAGGCGGAGCGTAATATTCAGGGTCTTTGTCATGTCGGTTGTGGAGCAGCAGTGCGTGCAACACATCAGTCGCTGTCGAAGATGATGAGATCTTGCCATCTTCCTGTAAGCTTGCTAACTGTTCTTCTCCCCAGGCGAATGCTTCTCTCTCACACTTTACAAATGGATGATTTGGTTCCTTAGATATGTAAGATCCTCCTAAAACCGATTCAGGAAATGCAGCTTCTTCACGGAGTAACAGATTAGCGACAAAACGGACGCCAACTTGTAAAGGGATACGAATGATATCAATGAGTCCCATATCCTCATTTCTCCCAAGAGGCAATGCTTTATGCTTTAAAGAGTTGAAGCTGATCGGTGCGCTAAGCCTATCTTCCTTGCCAGTTCGAACCAAGAGAATGCTTTGGTGCTGGGCGACGTTATCGTAGTGACGGAAGCCGTCTGCTTGCCTTCTGTAGCTAGGTCCCACATACTTGTATTCGTCGAAGACTGCTGTCAGTGCTTCACAAAGTGGGTGCAGTCTGAAGTATCTTGGGTCTCTCTCGGCCCCATCTCCCTTCTTTTCCAACGTCCCTCGAACCTGAGAACAGATGTACTTCTGCGCCCGCAGTATTTCTGGAACGGTCTTCGCGGCTTTTGAAGGAACGTGTACAGGCACAGCGAAGAAATCCTCAAGTTGGAACTGTGGCTGCCTGCCTAGAGCATCAGCCCAAGCATTCCAAATACTTCCCAGGATCACAAGTCCGTCGGAATCACCCCCATTGACTGTTGCTGACTGCATCCAATAGAAGACTGTGGCTTTATTGCAAAACGAGGGCTCACTCCATTTAGGGACACCCGGCAAGCTATCGCCTCTTTCCTGTGGAATTCTGATCAATCGAATCATGTTAGATCCGAGGCGTCGTGAATCAGGAGGTGACCAGTTGTGCTGGAGCTGTTGCCGGTGTTCGTCGCGTGCTATGATGAACCAATTCCACTTGAGGGCTTCTCTTAGTTCTGCGATGACGTCTGGTGCGAGGGTTTCTTCAAAGGTTTGTCTGGATGCATCGAGGTTTGGATCTGATACCTGGGGTCTCGACACCGGAGTAGAGGGAGCGGGAACTGCTGTCTCCATTTTCTAGTGCTTGCAAGTCTTGTGATGTGTGATTCAATCGTAAAGTCTGATTCTCTCGATTGTATGCGACCGTGGTCTCTCGATTGTGTGCGACCGTGGCGCGTGAAGGTGTAGAAGTTCTTATGTGCCGAATCCGTGTTTTGGGCTTGCGATGCTGTCTATGTAGAAGATCGTAGGAGGATCTGAGGAGGATCTGAGGAGGCAATGTATAGGTATGCGACAGAAGCATCCGTTTTGAAGGTTGGGACTGGGCTTCGGACTGGTCCCAAGGTAAGGCAAGGCAAGGTAGTCTTCGATTGTGGTCTCGTGTTAACTCCGGAAGAAAGCTATTCCACCAGGTGAATCATGCATATGGCAAGTCTGGAACATAGACGGAGGGAGATCGATCTAATGAGACTTATTTGCCACGAGGTGAAGGGCTTTGAGTATTGACAGTTCCACCATCGACGTTGACTCTACCGGCAGGCACTTTCACTTTGCACCGGGGCACGATGCTTTGGCCGAAGCGGCGAGGGCGGAAAGATGATTGACGAGAGACAGGTTGTTGATATGAGGAGGTAGAGAAGACGGGGCGCTGTGACGATGACGATGATGATGATGATGACGTAGAATGTTGATGGTGGATTGTCTGAACTCTCGAAGTTCAACTACAAGGGCGGCCAAACGTTCTCATGAGCTAGCTATACAGGAATTGATATTAAATATTCCCGCGTGCTATAGTCTCTGTTGGCCCCTGTCAGTAAATATCCAGGGGATGTCGCGTCTATATAGAATAGCTAGTTACCATTCTTTTCACTTCAAGTCATTATCCTCTGTCCGATCCCTCCCGTCCTGACAAGTACATTGCCCATTCTCGCCATCCTCACTTGCATATTCCAGATCTCAGCAGGTTAACAATCCATGTACCCTGATTCTTGTGATAGCTCCCAGTATCTTGGGAAGTGTATTTTATACCCCGCCCTGCCTTCTTTCAGGCCGTAACCTTAACCGTTCGCTCGGACAGGACAAGGATAAATGCTCAAGCTCTTGTAAAGTCGTCGTAGAGACCTTTGCCCGTTTCTCGACTTGATGATCCTCTAGCCACGACAATCTTCTCAACGTGCGTCCGCCAAGCTCGTGCCTATAGTTGATGAGTGATCTCATCGAACTTGCCCCGTTATCACTCCCCAATATGGCGTAAAACCGTTCGTCATCCTTGGTGTTTAGTGATTAGAAGCGGAAGCGCGTTTGGCCTTCTTGCCCTTGGCTTTGGATTTCTCCTGAGCCATGGCATCAGATACAGCTAGGCGAATGGTCCTCGTACAAGCAGCTTGGACGTCGGGTAGCGTACCAGATTGCTCTACGAGCAGACAGATTAATAACACAACATCGTGCTATCATGCGCAAGCCTGACGGCTCGAAGTTCGGGAAACGCTGTCCTATCCTGCCTCTTGTAGTTGGAGTAATTGTCAAACGGGAGGAAAGGACTCGATTGAAGAATGAATATAGATGATCGAAGCTACAAGAAGGGTAGAGAGACTATTTATACATGAGTGGGACACCCTTAACCGAGGATATCATGTGACCTGATTGCCATGTGACAGTAATTGAGTACCTTGTGCACTTCTGGCGTGGATTGTACCAATTGTTATACGCCAGATCATCTAACTAAGCCCTCGGTGATAAGTGCTTCACAATACTATACTTATACTCGCGTTAGTTCGACCTCAATGACTGTCGATGTTTGGCCATTGGGGTCGGAAAAGGGGGCTCGCTTAGAATAGCGGCGAATTTCCTCCTTGAGTCCTTGGAAATTATTCTTGACGTCTAGTCGCAACCTACCTACTCGTTGCAGAGAACTAAACTTGAATGTATCTCTAATAACCACGCCCAACATTGGTCTCTAGCTTCTTTAAAGTAGAAACTTGGTACAAATTTGGCACCATATAAATACCCATGTTTTACAGGGGTAACATAAGGTAGAAAGTAGATATACTTACCTTACACTGGCAAGACAGCGAAGGGTACTGATATTTCTCTCCAGCAGGCCTAACTACATTCTTCCACCACTACAAGCAGGAAAAGTCTAACAATATGGACGAAGAGCGACGCACCAACATTGCAACCGCGCTGCACCAATATCGCGAAACGGTATCGCAGCACAACTTCAACTTGCTTCGCATCATGATGGAATGCATGGAAGAGGAGCCCCTCCCGCCCCAGGTGCCAGCCAGCGTCGCCGAAAAGCTACACGTCCACGAACTCGGTCGATACCTTCGGTGCACCATTCCCGAATCCGTCAAGACGCCGCGCGATGTCCTCAACGACCATGTGCGCGCCGAGTTGACTGCTCGCTTGGACGGAGTACTGCACCGGCCAGTCAAGTGGGAACAGAGAGAGGAGTACTTCGCTGGCATCCAGACACGCATCGCAGAGAAGAACGTCGAGGTTACAGAATTTCCTCCGGCCGATTTAGAGTACCTATGTACGCTTGTCAGCGGCGTCACTGGTCCGGGACTGGGGACCCACCACACGGTGCAGCAGTTTGCTTTTGTATCTGCTATTGGAGATTATTCTCTGGAGGAAATGGTAGCAAGTGTCACGGTGCCCATTCGAGGGGACGAAGGAGGAGGGTACACTGAATGGACGGATGTTTGGGCGGACTGGGAAATTTCTATCGCGTTCAAGATTGGCGGTGGTGAACGCGGTTGGGGCGGCTCTTACGCCCTCTATTGCCGCAATGAGGGCAATGAACAATGGAAGTGGAGATATGGCGTTCATGATGAAGACTGGTGTAGCGATGTCTATGATAGCGTTGAGGAATTTCTTGGCTTCTACGCCCACTTCCGAGAAACGACGGAAGAACAGGTCAGGAAGAGCATGATATCTTTGAAAGGAATACTAGCACTACGTTGAAATCTATCATTCGATGATAAACAACTGACTTTAATTGCTTGTTTTATCTTATTTGTGTAAAGCTGGCCTCAAGTTTAGGATTGAGCATGCGAAGCGCGGTATCATTGCTTTGAATAAGGTTAGGGTCGGGCACTGAGCAAAAGATCGTGGCTAAATTGCATCGCTGTGGAAACTTATGCCATCATGTTCCATCGGGTTATAATAGGCCGTCCAGTCACAATGGAGAGATGTAAAAATGGCTACTTCTCAGTGCTTTCAGGTGTGCTGTAACAGTAGACTAGAAATCCAAGTCTATAAATTGATTACCTTTAATTAGTAAAGGATTGTGTTACAGAACAATAATGCTAGTCGTGGTGACTATCTTTGGTCACCTGACCTGAAATTACTACATATCTCCATCTACATATATACAACCCGGTGAGGGGACTTCGATCTCTCAGAACGTCCGGCACAGCCTGTGGTCCTCCATCTCGGTCCAGTACTCACTTCCGACTCCCGTGGCGGCGTAGAAGATGTGGTCTGGGTCGTATTTGTCCTTGATAGTGCGCAGTACCGCGTAGTTCTCGTTGTAGAACGTGTATTGGAAGTCCGGCTGGTTCGGGTCCGCCTCGTTAAGGTATGCGCCCCCTCCCGGGGTCATGGCCTCGAAGGGCGGAAGGAGCTCGTCTGTCATGATTCTCCGGTTGGCAACGTTGGTGTCCCAGTCTGAGTAGCTCCACGGCCTGGGGAATAGTTAGCGAGTTTGAAAGCTGAACTTGTGGAGGCCCGGGAAAGACTTACGTGCCGAAGACCAAATCTATGGCTGCAGTACGCCATACCGGGTTTACTGCGTTGATGGGATAGCCAGGTTTCTGGGTCGCGTTGACCGAGACACCCGAGATGACGGCCCCCTGATTGTTGACGTTCTGCATCGCAGCGACTAGAGCCGACGAATTCGACTCGACAATAGAGCGCGGAATCAGTCGACCTCCGAGCTGGTATTCGGTCACGTTGCTAGGCGGGTTCATCGTCTGGTAGGCGTCGTAGTATGTCGAGAACTCATCGATGTTGTATACTAGAATACGGTTAGCAGGCATTTCTTGATATACTCCTTTCGCTTCGTCTTTCTTTTCCTTCTCGAGAACTGCAGAAATGTCAAACATACTGTACGTCATGTTGTTTGCTTCCAACTCTTTGATTACTGGGTCGAGCAGCGACTGCAGCTGTTGCTTTGTGCCTCCAGGGATAGTGGTAGGTGTCATGAGAAAGGTCGTGTTCAACAGCATCCAGATGCTCACGCCACCTGCGTCCAAGATTGAAGGGAGAGTGGTGACGAAGGTCTCGACTACACCGTAGAATGTCTCCTGTGTCACGCCCGTGTTGAGGAAAGTCAGGTTAGCCGAAGCAGTCTGCCGTTCTGGATACACCTTGCTCGTCATGGACAGCACCACGCCATAAGTGCCGCCGCCGCCGCCAGCCAGAGCCCAATACAAGTCCGAATTGTTGGACTGCGAGGCGGTAACAAGCTCTCCTGTTCCAGTGACCACCTCCCATTCGAGGACCTGGTCTGCCGCGAGGCCAAAGGCGGACACGAGCTGCCCGTGGCCACCCCCCTGCGTATAACCACCTGCAATTCCGACAGTAGGGCAGTTGCCCGTCACCACCATCACGTCGTTGTCATGAGCTATCTCGTCAGCCTCGAATCCTTGGACGCCGGCACCAACTTTGATCGCCTTTCCGGTGTAGAATTGCGAGTTGTAATCTATGATTTCCATGTCTTTCAGGTGGTGAGTCCAAATGGCCACTGCACCCGCGCCGGTGGATTTGCCATTGTAGTCGTGCCCGGTGTTACGGATGACTAGACGGATGTTGTGGGCCTTGGTGAATGCGATGGTGTTTTGATAGTCCAAGGCCGAGGTCGCGTTCACAGCGTACTGGACGTAGGTGCCGACGACGCATTGGGCGTCCTTGGAAGTAAACGGATCACAGCTCTGGTTGGCATACCATGCGGACATGACGGAAGAAGAGGTCTGATAATGGGTTTCCGGGTAACCCCACACGTTCTGGACGGCAGCGCACTCTGACTGGCTGTAAGGCGTAAACTGGTCCACATGGCAGGCACTAGCAATTGGGACTGTCGCGATGAGCTTTCCGCCCAGCGTCTTGTTGAACTCGCTCCATTCTTCAGCGGTTGGCCAGTCGGCATCACCGGGGAAAGTGCGGCAGCGCGGTTGCTGTGGCTCTGAGAAATACCTCTTGAACAGCTGGGCTGGCGACGCAGGCGTGTATGCATTTTCCGTCAACGCGACGTAGCCCACGGCGAACAGAAGGACCACGAAGGCGAGCTGGCCCGCCATCTTCGCGGTTGGCCTACCAAGCACCGGCCGGATCAGCATTGGAACTCGGATTCCGTCTCCCACGGAGCTTTGCAGGGGTATTCAGGGGGCGGGGGAGATGGGGGAGATCCAAGAAGGGGGAGTAGGAGAGAAGACGCGTGGGAGAGGAGGGAGGAGATGGAGGAGAGAGGGAAGAGGGAGGAGAAGGAGAAGAGAAGGAGAAGAGAGAGACGAGACGATCAGAAGAGCAAAGAAAAGTAAAGAGCGACGAGTTGGAGGTTGGAATTGGAGGGACTCACGTGAGATTTAAGCGAGGGGGACGGAGAGACGGAGGAGAGTTAGTCCAGGCCGAAGCGACAGGGAATAGCACGGGATGGGGAAATTGGGGATTAGGTAAGCAACGCCACGTTTATATTTGACCGAAGGGGGACGGAGAGATTAAGATATCGTTAAGCCGTCCCTCAGTCGATGGTTGAGCCAGACCATCAATGATTCTTCTTCTATATAATTTCCACATACCGCCCACCTTCCCTCTGCAGCACGTCTCAGGGACGGCCACGTCTGGATCCGGGCAAAAGCGGCAACGGGCCCGGGAGACGCACCAGTAGCATTACCGGCGCCTCCCTCGTGCGCTCGCGCGGTTCAACGTCGCAGTACTACCGCATTCCACCGCTGCATGGCCAGAGTCGTAACACTGCAACGGTGGCGCTGTGCTTCTGCGGCGTAGTCAAGCCATCGGTTTCTGGGTCTCAGTGCACTGGCGTATGTGATGCCGCGCCGCTGAGACTGCGTGATAAAGGGTGAAATTCCCCTTATCCCACTCACCTGAACGGCTGTGCCTGGCGATAATCCCACTACCGGTCGACGCTAATGGCACTACTGCACGGGACTGGACCTCGGCACCGATCGACGCGGGACGGCATGCAGTAGCGCCATGCAGCCCTGCGGCACGGCCCACGGTGAAAGGTTCCTCCGGATACGAACTCCCGGAGGCGCTAAGCGAGGTACGGGCGTCCGTGCCAGGGTCCAATCGGTTAGCAGCCGCACTTGGAAGTCCCGTCTGCCGAGCGCCTCACTCACGGCACTGACCGCCGTACTGTTGAAAACCAAATACGCTAAGCATGGTTTTCAGGGGCACCTAGTGTCTTAATATCACCTCTAATATCGCTACTAGAGGACAGATTTCTCTCTAAAGAGACTTCTTAACAGTAGCCTTTCTGTATCTCTTTAGACAACTTAATATACATGAATCATCTACTTATTATACTAAAAACGTGTATCTTAACAGGTTATAAGCCCGGTCAGCTCTAGCCATTATATCTTTTAACCTTAACCTCTTAAGTCGCGTTTACTTAACAAAAGAAACCCTTATGCCTAAGAAGACATTCCTAAAACTAGATCTTAAAGACAGTGATCTTAGTAATACTTTATTTAAGTCTAAAGGACCTAAACGAGATTAAAGCCGAGAACTAAACAGCCCTATCTCTCTAACCGTTCTAGTTACTAACGAAGAGGTTAGAGAACTCTATAAGGACCTAACAGAAACGATTCCTAAAAGAAAGCTAGGGCACTAGAGTAAACTCCTAAAACCTAGAAGCCTAAGACTAAGCCTACTACTACTATTACCTCTACTAGACTTAAGACACGAAAGATTCTTAAGAACGATAGTAAGGACAAAGCCTAAACCTAGTATAGTAAGAAGGGTAACGCTTATACTACTACCTAGTATACGAGTAATAATAGAGGTACAAAGGGCATAGGATCGAATTAATCAGATCATTAATCCTAAAGGCATATACAATACAGACGACTTATAGAGTTAAGAGAAAGAAGAGAAAGAAGAGTAATTAGCTTATAGACCTGTCTTATTAGACAAGGAAGTAGAAAAGATCTCTAAGACTATAAGATCTAGGTCGTTAGATAAAATAGACCTGTTAGCCTATTAGAGTAACCTAAACCTAAATACATACAAGTAAAATCTAAACCTAAGCATTTAAACCTTTAATAGTAAAGAAGCTTCTTTTAGCCCTAAAGACCTAGAAAGGACATTATATAACAGACTAAAGAGAACACAAACTTAAAAGCGTTAACTAAAGACTTTTGTTAGAGATTAGTATTACAGGTAATATAGTAGAGAATTACAGTTAAGTAGCTAGCGAGTCGTAGTATACTTTAATTCGAATCTAAACTAATTCTTACCTTTCTTCCTTACCCTTACTCCTTAAGATATATGTATACTACCCGAGAACCTTAAGTAGCCTTAGTGTACTTATAGGTACGTAAGGCCCGTACATTCTTAATCCTACTCTTTTAAGTCTCTAATATTACCTCTCTCTCTTATAGCTCTGTCTTAGAGTCGTATAAGCTATACTAGATATAGCGCCTTTCTAGAGTTATATAGAACTTATACTAGATATAGCTAAGCTCTCTTTTTGTAACGCGTGCCTAGAATACGTAAGGGCCGTACTAGGTAAGCCTTATACCTCTTCTTATAGCTCTTACCCTATATATAGACTATTCTTACCCTAAAACCTTAAAATAATATAGTATAAATATAAGAAAGAAAGAATATCTCTTTCTTTTATCTACTCTTTGTCTTTATCTATACTTATAGTAGCGCGCCTATTACGCCGGATTCGCGCTAGCGCGTTCTTAATAAGCTATATAATAAAGGCTCTAGCCGCTCTTTACCTATAGTACTTTATTTACGTAAGAATTTATTTAATATAAAGAATTATTTATAAAGCCTTACTAAATGTTTATATTATATTATTAGTAAGTATCTTATAATATACTACTAAAGAAGAGTATATAAAGAGGTAAACTTTCCTTTTCTTACCTTCTTTTTCCTTTCTTTCTAAATTAAGCCGCCTTACCTCTTATACTTCTTTAGTACTGTCTTTTCTAAGCCTTTTCTTCTAAGCTATTACTTTACGCGTCGCGCCTTTCCTTATTCTCTTTTTAACCCCCTCTCTTACCTTATATAATACTACTCTACTATAGCTAACCTTACCTACTCTCGCGCTTATAGGGTATACTCTCGCGCCTTTCTTACGCTTACTACGTCTACTATATAAAGACATAAGTAGCTAAGCCTAGGCTTACTTATATTACTTAGACAGGTTAGACTAAGTATAACTAATGTACTACTAAGTATAAAGCTTGTTATAAGATCTTATAAGAGTTTATAGCTAAGCTTAACAAGTTACTTTTCTTATCTAATCGCGCTAAAGCTGTTATTATAGCTAATCCTGTCTCTACTTACTCTACGACCCTTAAGGTAAAGCTAGGGCCTTACTAGCGCTCTTTTACCTAGTAAATTAAGAGCTATTTTCGCTAAGCCTACCTCTAAGGCCTCTTATAGCCCTTATGTACTACTACTAAAGCTGTCTTAATTATAGTTAACGTACTATAAGGTCTCTACTACTTAATTAATGTTATTATAGACACTTATTAGTATAACGTAAGTATCTCTTTTGTTTTACTAGTACTTACTAACCTTAGTTAGTCTAACCTCTTACCTATTACTAAGACAGATCCTTATAATAGTAACAATAATAATAATAATAATAATAATATAAAGGATAACAAGGATAATAATAGTAATAATAAGTAGTTAGTCTAGTCTAGTAGTCTTAGGCTATATAGTCGTAAGGCTTATTTTACGCGTATGTGTTACTAGCGTATAACTAAGACTTGTTTTTACCTTTTTCCTTCTTTTTTTCTTTTTCTAAATTAATAACTATTCTTAACCTAACTACTTACTATAACCCGCGCCTTCTCTAGTGTTTCTCTTTTATAATACTACTTTAGTCTTTAATTAGTACTACCTCCTTATACTCTTAGACCGTGTCTATAGCGTTTCTAAGGTTTCTTACCGGCTCTTACGTATCGTCTATAAGAGTATACTTCTTTTATCTTACTAAGTATTACCTTCTTATAGCTTGTTCTTTATATACTAGAATTAATTCTACCTTAAACTCTTTCTACCCTTTTATAACGTCTAGGCTAAGTAGCTTTAACGTTACGCTAGCTCTATAGTAGTATAGCTCTAGTAAGGACATATAAAATATAAGGTAGATTTTAAATACTAAAAGTAACTTAAGCTTATAGGCTAACTTATTTAACGTAATATAAGTAACTTTAAAAAGGCTAAGGTAGTAATCTAATAGCTTCTTGTTAGGCCTAGTAACTTAGAGGTGTTTAGTTAAGAGTATTACCTTATTACTTACTTAAAAGGGCATAAGTTTACGTTTCTTATTATAGAATCTCTTTTATACTTTAATAGTATTATACTAGTATTTATCTAGCGCTACTCTCTCTTTCTTAATCTACTTTACCTTCTTATGTACTACTACTACCTCTTCCTTTATAATGTCGTCCTTAACATTAACCCGGATCTCTAGTAAGAATCTATATAGTATATAGAATAAGGTTACCCTTATTAAAGAGTATACACTATTATTATATATAAATTTAGCTAAGGCAAGCTTTAATACCTAGTCGTCTTACTTATATATCGCGTATACTTAAAGGTAATGTTTAATAGTCTAGTTTTATACCTTAGTCTAACTGTTACTCTATAAGTAAAAGATAGTACTAAGCTAGCGTCTTACCTTTAAGTAAAAACATAAGGAGGCCTAAAACTTACTTATAAACTAAGGGCCCTTATCTAATACAATCTTCTCTAAAGTCTTAAAATCCTTAACTATATAGTATATAAAGAGTTTTACTAGCTATAAGGCTGTAATTGTCTTATAGTATAAGATATAGTACGCTACCTTTATATACTTGTTAACAACTATAAGACATAAGTTAAATACCTTTTTATTAAACTTACTTAAGGGTAGGCCTATAATAAAATCTATTAAAATCTACGCCTAAGGCCTTGTTAGCCGTTCTAGTAGTACTAACCTACTATATAGCTAGTACCTCTTAGGTTTAGTCCTTTAGTAGACTATATAAGTCTTAACTTATTCTTTAATATTATAGTATATACCTTACTAAAAGTATTTATACTAAAGAAGCTCTAGTGTCTTAGTAGTACTAAAGTACCTTACTATTAGGTCGTTATAGTTAATCGTAAAGATCTTACTCTTTAAGGCTTTACTTTTTAGAATATAGACCTAGCTATCGTACTAAAGTAGACCTGTTAAGTTAACGTACTACCTTAAGTAGTTATCTCTTTTATTCTTAAGTTCCTTACTTACGTTATCTCTTATAATATTACCTTAAATTTAGGTATCTAGGCTTTATTACCC